CAAAAGCCAAAAGTCAGTGAATTCATTTTCTTTTATTTCTTTTGCCTTCTGAGTTAAGTTTTTGAGGGATTTCTTGGGTATACTAACTGCTCACTCCTTAGATATACTAACTGCCTCCTCCCAGTTACAAGGAGGGAAGGGGATTATGATATTGATCCGTAGAAGCCTTGCTGATATGATTTGGGAGAATTGCAGATAACTGCTTATTAGAATTTATTTCCATCCTGTCAGTTTCCACCCTTGGAAAAGGGTCCTATTTGATCCTAGCTTATAAGTGCTGTCAAAACAAGGACTCCTCTGGTTTAACCTAACACTTCACAGACCAAGATTTTTCCTGTACGTTTGTGTTTTTTTTAAAATATATTTTATTGATTTTTTTATAGAGGGGAAGAGAGAGGGATAGAGAGTTAGAAACATCGATGATGAGAGAGAAACATCGACCAGCCGCCTCCTGCACACCCCCCACCAGGGATGTGCCCGCAACCAATGTACATGCCCTTGACCGGAATCAAACCTGGGACCTTTTAGTCCGCAGACCGACGCTCTATCCCTTGAGCCAAATCGGTTTTGGCTTTCCTGTACGTTTTAATCTTTTTGTAATTTTTAATGAAATAACAGACTGCTTGATGTTTAAATCTTGCCTTCTTCCCAAAAGGATTTATAGCAAGTTGGGAAAAAAATAGATTGGGCATCTGCCCTATGCCAGGCTGTATGCCGAGTGGTTCTGTATGTTACTTTACTTCCTCTTTAGAACAACCATCTGAAGTGGTATGAGTCCCATTTGGAAGATGAGACTTAGGGAGTGTCACATGGCTAAGGAGTGAGGAGAGGGATCCAGCAAAGTGCTCCAAAGCTCCTAACCTTTGTCTGGAAAACATGGAGAAACATTTTGTGTATCTGACAGTTAACCTAACAACAGAATCTTTCCAGTAGGGGGATTTTACTGAGCTAATCATTAGTTTTAAAGAACAATACACCATTGGAAAAGGGCAGTTAACAGTTTTTATTAGTTGATTTCTGTTCTAGAGCAATGAGAAAGGTGGCAGCCCTTTCCTCGTCTGCTGCTTTCTCCACAGCACTGCCCGCCTCCTGTTCCTTCCCATCGCTTGTCCCACCAAGGACTCCCCTTCCTCCCTCCATTCTGCTGCTGGGGATCTGTTTGCCTTCATCTCCATTCCTCGGGCTGCCAACGCAAATACAAACAAGCATTGCAAATCTCATTTCATGATTCTCAAGGGCCTTTTAAAATGGCAGTTTTTAAATATATATATTTTTATTTTTAGAGAGGGAGAGGAAAATAGAAACATCAAGGATGAGAAACAGGGATTGCCTGCCTCCTGCACGCCCCCTATTGGGGATCTAGCCCATAACCCCAAGCATATGCCCTGAACCAGAATCGAACCGTGACCTCCTGGTACATAGGTTGATGCTCAACCACTGAGCCACACTCGCCAGGCTAAAAATGGCCATTTTTATGAGGCGCTGTTACATTTTTTTCCTTTGGAAATCAAAGTCTTGTGAGAACAGAACCCTTTTCATAGTAAGGCATCTCTTGTAGCTAGTACATCATGAAAACAATGAGGGGTCCTAGTATTATAGAACCTTGCATGGGTTCCACTTTGCAAGATTTGGGGAGGGGGGGTTGGAAGTTTTGTCTGGATCAGTAGTTTCATTAAATTACTGGATGTCTGGTTTTGTGCTTATTAAAGTTTATTCAAATCCTCAAAGTAAATTATTTCTTTTCCAAATGCACAACTTCGTGTGACTTGCATTTGGATGGCCCCAGGGCAGCCTGAAGACTCCTTGCAATGAGTTCTGTTACGTCACAGTCCAAGCAGTAAACCGTCTTCCGTATTCCTTCCTTGTCTAGCACATGGTTTGCTGGATAATTGAACACGAATTAATAAGACACTGTTCGTCCTTCCAGAGAAAGACTTAAAAGCCCAGAGTGTTCTGTGTGTGAGTGCCTGTTGTGTGATGGGCAGTGAGCTGGGTGCCTTCTGTCCTTGTCCTCAGAGCTTTACAGTCTGGTGAGTTCAACAGCAAGACGAACAGTTCTTGCCACACAAAAAAGTAGATACGTGTGCTGTGATAGGGCGCAGTGCTCGTTCCTGTGGGGGTGGTCTGGCCAGTCAGGGAGGCATCCTGGGAAAACTGCCGCTGACGGATGAGTGGAGTTAACCAACCTGGGTGGTAGGAAAGGGCTTTCAGAAGGAGTGAACAGCATCGTGAAATCCTAGTGAGGGCACAGGAAAGAACTACTGTGAAGCAGTGACATTCAGTGGGAGTGGCAATCGTGGGCAAAGAGAAGTAGGTAGAGGCCAGGTCGTGAAGGGCTTTGAGAATCAAGTATGTTTAAATTTTATTCTCTGGACAATGTGAAGCCATTGGCTGATTCTTTATGTTAGAAAGTTCACCACTCAGACCTTCCTGCAATATTGCAGGTGCAGCTAATGTCGAGGGGGCTCCTGCCCATTACATTCTTGCATCCATTTGCCCCACCTCACACAAAAAACCCAACCAAACAAACACACACAAACAAAAAACCCTGAAGGTTAAATGAATAGGTTCTAGAAATAAAAACTAGAATAGTAACTACAAGCTAACACCACCATAGCCCAAGGACATTTGAAACCAAAATAAAGGCTTCTGGAGTTTGGGGTTTTAACATCTGCTCCAACAAGGAGACATAATCTGGGGAACTGATGGGGGTCGGGGAGGTACCTGGAATTGAATCTCTCTTAGCCTGGAGCCTTGAAGAGCTGTCTCTTCTGGAAATCTGTAGGGGGGGACAGTTAGGGGCCACCAGGCCTGCAGGGAAGGGCAGTTGATGACCCAGGCCTGCAGGGGAGGACAGTTAGGGGCAATCACGCAGGCAGGCAGGCAGGCAGGCAGGCAGGCGAGCGGTTGGGAGCCAGAAGTCCTGGATTGTGCTACTGCCTGTTTAGGCCCGCTCCTGCCTAAACGGGCAGTTGGACATCCCTCGAAGGGTCCCAGATTGGAGAAGGTGCAGGCTGGGCTGAGGGACATGGACACACACACACACACACACCCCGTGCACGAATTTTGTGCACCGGGCCTCTAGTAAATACTTGGAAGTCTGTATTTCACTTACAAGTCAGGATTGATTGAGGGTCTTAAATAGGGACTAGATTTACTTACTCCTGTGACTGGTAACTTGAAGGTAAGCCTGGAGGCAGGTAGCGCACATTCGGAGGCAGTTTCAATAATCCAGAGGAGAACAGAGAAGGATCTACCCTTCAGGTCATGGGGAGGAGAAGAGGGACCTGTCAAGAAGAGGTGGGAATACCATGCAGCATTGGGGGTGGGGTATGGGTATTCCATGCAGAAGGAACTGCCTTCACACAGGCCTGGAGGCCGGAAAGACACCCTGTTGTAGGCAGATGAGCAATGCGTTTGTTACAACCAGGCAGGGCAGAGGAAAGGGTAGGGTGTGACGTGCAAAATAGATTGAGGGCTGGTTGTGAAGAGCTTCATATGCTGAGGACTTTGGAACTGATCTTACTAACAGTAAGAAATTACCATTATTATTATTATTATTTATCATCATCTGAGGATATTTTTTTTTTAAATTGATTTGAGAGAGAGAAACATCATTGTAAGAGATACATCAATGGGTTCCCTCTCACACGCACCCTGACCAGGAATCAAACCTGCAATTGTACAGGATGGTACTCCAACCAACTGAGCCGCCTGGCCAGGGATGAAATTATTTTTTAAATGCTGAGTGGTGCAGTTTGAACTAAAACTTAGAAATATTTAAAAAAGTTAACTTTGGCATGCCATCACTCTTCTAAGTACTTCACAGGTGCTAATACATATAATCCTCACAGTACCTATTAGATGAATACCATTATGCCCTCTATGAATGGGGGGACAGGCATAAGGAGAATAAGGACTTGCCCATGGCCTCATACCTAGGGAACAGTAGAGCCAGGATTCACACCCTGGCAGCCTATCATAAGGCTCTCATTCTTAACCTTACACACCCTCGGTGTTTCAACCAAGATGCACATCCAAACCACACCTAGCGCTTCTAAAGATACAGTTGCCTAGATTGGCTGAATCAGAATATTCAGAAAAAAGATGTGTGATACTGTTTTGCAAAAGCTTTATAGGTGAGGGCCCCAAGTGCAGCAGCCTCTGGGAAGGAAGGAGAGGGTAGGAGGTGGAATCGGTTTAATGAGCTGTAAGCAATGAGGAAGAATTAACGCTGAATCCTAGGATTACAAAATTGAATTTAACTAGGGATGATCCAGCCTAGACAGGAATCCAGGAAGAGGGAGGGTTGAGGGTAAGACTGATGAATGAACTCCGTTTTGAACGCTTGGGTGTGAGTGCCTGTAGGTCTTCCAACTAAAGATGTTTTAAAAGAGAAAAGTTGCTTTTGGGGGTGCCTGTGTGCCAGCCACCATGCATGGCTTTCTTCAAGGTTAACTTACAATCCTCCCCTCAACTCTCACGAGCGTTTCCATTTTACAGAAGAAATGAATTCTGGGTATGATTCGGTTCAGAATGAACTTTGATCAGGCCTTCTCTTTCTATTTCAGTCCTGTCCATGTTTTTCTTCTGAGAATATACATCCTAGTATAAACCACAGGACACACCTTGGTCAGTACCACAGCTTTTAGCAGGTAATTCTGAGTATCCTTGATGCTAGCCATTTTAGTAGAAATGCCCAGGAAAAGAGGCGGGGAACATACATGTTCAACATACGTCATCTGGTCCAACTAGATTTGTTTTCAGGTTATGCAGATTCGGGGAAAGGGGATTTAATAGCTTGAGGAAGCGTTATATGTGCAAGATTATGATTCAACTCAGAACTGCTATCCCTGTGTATAATTCTGTGCTTACACTGTTTGTCTCTACTTCTCTACCCCAGGTCCCTTGCGAGAAACGCCTCGAGGTGCCCAGGCTGAGACTGGGGGGGAATGACAGTGTGAGCTCTAGATGGTGTGAGACCAGCCCAGAGTCAGAGAATGGCTACGGCCTTGGAACCAGAGGACCAGGATCTTTGGGAAGAAGAGGGGATTCTACTGGTGAAATTGGAAGATGATTTCACCTGTAGGCCAGAATCTGTCTTGCAGACGGACGACCCCGAGCTTGAGACCTCCCATCAGAACTTCCCCGCGCTTGAGACCTCACACCAGAACTTCCGGCGCTTCCGCTACCAGGAAGCAGCCAGTCCTCGGGAAGCTCTCATTCGACTCCGAGAACTTTGTCGTCAGTGGCTGAGGCCAGAGAGGCGCACGAAGGAGCAGATCCTAGAGCTGCTCGTGCTGGAACAGTTCCTTACCGTCCTGCCCGGAGAGCTGCAGAGCTGGGTGCAGGGCCAGCGGCCAGAGAGTGGCGAGGAGGCGGTGACACTGGTGGAGGGTTTGCAAAACCAACCCAGGACACCAAGGCGGTGGGTGAGGAGGGGGAGTCCTGACCTGTGTGATGTGGAGGGGGACCATTTGCTGGAAGGATGGATTTGGGAGGAGAGCTGACAGGGCCCCATACATCACCTTTAGATTTAATTGGCTCTGCCCGTGGGTTGCACCTAGACCCATAAGCCCCGGGGCAGAGGCGGTGTCTGTGTGTGTGAGTTACTTTCTGGTTTTTGAAACACCCACCTAGGGACTACCTTAAGGGCCTTCATCACCCCAGGGTCACATGGTTTTCGTTTTTTCCTTCTTTAGATGTTGAATCTCCAATTTCTGGGGAGGAAGATTTGTCACTTCCTCAAAGGTTCTCATAAACCCTCAGTCACAGATTCCCGCCCAGGTCAACGGCATATGGAAGCAAACACCGAGGGCTGCTGCGGGTGGGACAGGTGGCGATGGGAAGACCTCAGCCCTGGTGGGGAGGGACACGGTTGAGGGAGGCAAGAAAGCAGTGCAGTATCTGATTGTTCCTGCTTTGATCGGGCAAGGATAACCGCTCTGCATGCCCCAATGGAATTAGGGGTTCCCCTCTTCATCTGGGTCCCTCTGGGAGTTTTTTTCTATTGGCAGCTTCTCCTAAAATGAGCCCCGATGACAACCAAGACTTTCCTCCTGGCTCCATGGTGACTGGAAGTTGGAATTATTCCCAGGTGACTGCCCATGTTCATGGCCAGGAAGTCCTGTCAGAGGAGACGGTGCACCCAGGAGCAGAGCCTGAGTCACCTAGTGAGCTGCAGGATCCTGAGCAGACCCCGACCCCAGAGGAGCCCCATGTGGAGACCACGCAGAGCCCAGATCCGGGGGCACCAGCAGAGCAGAGCCTGTGCCATGAACTGGAGCTGGAGCCCCTGCACGAGATCGGTGGGAAGCCCCGGCAGAATGCGGGGGGCGGGGGGTGGACTTACGTACCAGCGAGGCTGGGGAGATTGGGATAGGAATAACTCACAGGACAAGATGTTGAGAGGAGACAGTACTAGCTTGAATCCTATGACTAGGCTGAGCTTAGAGAGCATCCTTAGTGTTGTAGATTGCATTGTTTGAGTTACTGGAGCTGCCCTTGATTCCCAAAGATGATGGGGGTTGCTCAGCTCTGTGTTAGTTACAGGGGTGCATTGCCTATTGCTGACCTCTGCCCTCTTTTCTTCGTAGAGGTTTCAGTGCCCCAGGACCCAGACCTTCCTGAGGAGAGGAACACCGGGAACCCAGAGATGGTCGCCCTTCTTACTGCTCTGTCACAGGTGCACCCTGGTGTCCCTCTATTCCACAGAGAATTGGAAGACCCATATGCTCAGTGGGTCTGACAGGACACCAATTTCCACTCTTGTGTCAGTTTAAATTCTGTTCTCCACTTGTGGGGCTGGGGAAAGGGATAAATTATAATGAGATAAATTATAATGGTCTCAGTTGCATCTACAGGCTCCAAAACCCCTTTATTTGCCACTGACCAGGGGGACTAACAGAATGGGATTATTTTGTAACTCACCACTCCAACTTGGACGTTGTTGAATGGGGGTTTGTTTTGGTTTTTAGGAATAAACTTGACCGTCATTGGTAAGGATGACTGACTGTGGCAGAAGTGATTTCTGAACTTCATGGTGTACTCAGGCCATCACATTATGAAGACTGACCTTAGGCGGAGCCCAGAAGTGAAGTTATGTGGGTGGGGGCAAAGGAAGAAATTTACCTGTGCTTTTAGACTAGTGTAGCTGAAGGAAAACGTCCTGTTTATGCTATGTAGACTTTGTAAGTGATAGGGTGGTTAGAGAAGGTCAGTTAGGGAAAGCTTCCCAGAAAAGACTTTTTATACAAATGTAAGTAGCATTAAAGCATCAACTAGAAAATTGAGTGATGGCTTTTAAGACTTTTTTTTTTTTTTGTAATTAAACAATATTCTCAAGAGGAGGAAGAACATGGTTCTGAAAGGAAGTAAGATTAGCAGACCAGTGTGAAAGTGCCATTAGGGAAGCAGTGACATGGTGAAACACAAGTTTCCTGAGAGAACCAAGCATCCCATTTGGGTCCCTTCTGTCCCCTGGGTGGATTCTGCCTATACCAGAGACCTTCAGTCCAGGCACAGAATGTGAGGCTCCGTGAGGCACCGCATTTTAATTGAATCCTACTGCTGTTTCAGGGATTGGTAACGTTCAAGGATGTGGCTGTATGCTTCTCCCAGGACCAGTGGGATGATCTGGATCCAACACAGACAGAGTTTTATGGAGAATATGTCTTGGAAGAAGACTGTGGAATTGTGGTCTCCTTGTGTAAGGAAGTTCAAGTGTTTCTAGAGTGTTCTGAACATAGACATCTTTCTCCTATTGGAAATTATGGGTGCTTAGAGCTTAGGCTGTATGTACTAGACTTCTCTTATGCCTACCCCACCAATGAGATTGAAGAGTTTAGCTGAGTAAGATTATATTCTTCTAAGTTAAAAGGAAGAGAAATGCTTAGAAAATGGTTGGAAAATTAAAGTTATATTACTAGAGGTTCAGTGCACAAAATTTGTGCACAGGTAGGGTCCCTAGGCCTGGCTGAGGGCCGATTGGGGCCTTCCTTCATTCCCCACCGCCCTCTGGTGGTCAGCACACATCATAGTGAGCGATTGAACTCCCAGTCGAACCCCTGAGGGGACAATTTGCTTATTAGGCCTTTATATGTATATATTAGAGAGGTTGCTTTAGTATATTTGAGGTAAGCATGCGCTTTGAAACAAGCAATAAAAGTTGGAGATAATCTACTTATTTAAATATGGGAAAAGAGGGTAGCATTTAGTTGTGTAATTGCTGAGTTATAGGTAAAAAAAACTATGCAGTGCTTAGTTGGAGGTACTCAAGCTAAAAAGACCAAAGATTTGAATGACTGACTTGGCTGATGTGCATTTACACAGGGAATTGTTTAACCAATCATCATGTCCTGTTTCCCCTCTGGAACAGCATTTCCAATCCCCAGATTAGATGAGATCTCCCACGTTATAGAAGAAGACCCTTTGGTTCCAGATATCCTAGAGCCTCAAGACCCTCAAGAGCCAGATGTCCTGACTTTTACCTACACAGGTGAGGAGAGACCAAGGGACTCACAAAGGAGCTGGCAGTTCCTTTAGTCAGTGCTCCCCTCTCTCTCTCTCTCAGGTATCGCCCTCATTGGTTCTTCCAATATGTCAGGCATTACTTCTGTCTCCCTCTCAACGCCAAATCCTTCCTTTTTCTCTCTTACTCCTCCCATTATTTTTGTCTGAGGTATATGTAATACAAAATGGAGGTGGTGGTAGTGAGGGTATATCGGGACTTTTGGAATTGTGGCTAAACCATTTATTAAGCAGTTTACGTAAACATGATCCTCAGCCTCCACATTTGTGAAACGGGGATTATAATATTTGTTCAAATTAAGGCTACTAATAGCTTAAGATAACATAAGAAAGTGCCTGGCATATGACAGGCATTCATGTGACTATTTTCTTTTATCCCTGTCTCTACAGTTATGAAATATGGGCTTCTCTCTATGTGATTTGGCCCTTCCAGATCTCTGATTTAAAATTAACACCCCACCCCCACCCCCATTGTGTAGAAGGCGTCATTACCTGTATAATTTTCTCCTCTTACCATCTCTTCAGGAGACAGGAGTGACGATGAGGACGAGTTTCTTGAGCAAGAAGATCTGAATTTGGAGAATCTACACTCATCTGTTTTAGGAGATCCAGAAATCCACCAGACTCCAGATTGGAAAATAGTCTTTGAGGACGATCCAGGTAGACTTGATGAAAGTTTTGATACAAATATTTCTCACATTAGTTCAATAAATCTTCAGGATACCGTACCTATCCACTCCCTGTTAGGGAAACCTCATGGCTGTCCTGTATGTGGGAAAAACTTCACATGCAACTCCCACCTTGTTAGACACCTGAGGACTCACACAGGAGAAAAACCCTATAAATGTCTGGAGTGTGGCAAAAGTTACACGCGGAGCTCACATCTTGCCAGGCACCAAAAGATCCACATACTGGGCGCTCCTTATAAATTCCCCCTAAACCAGAAGAATCTGAATGAGACCTCCCCCCTGGGCACAGCTGAGAAAACACCCATTGAGAAGCCCTACAGATGTGATGAATGTGGAAAGCACTTTCGCTGGACTTCAGATCTTGTCAGGCACCACAGGACGCACACAGGAGAAAAACCTTTCTTTTGTACTATTTGTGGCAAAAACTTCAGCCAGAAATCTGTGCTAACCACACACCAAAGAATCCAGCACGGAGACAAGCCCTACATGTGTGGAGAGTGTGGAGAGTACTTCGGCGACCACAGGCAGTACCTGGTGCACCGGAAGGCACACGATACCGAGCAGCTCTATCTCTGTGGCCAGTGTGGGCGGAGCTTCGGCCATAGGGCTGCGTTTGCCAAGCACCTGAGAGGACACGCTGTAGTGAGGTCCTGCCAGTGCAATGAATGTGGGAAAAGCTTCAGTCGGAGGGACCACCTCGTCAGGCATCAGAGAACACACACTGGCGAGAAACCGTTCACGTGCCCTGCCTGTGGGAAGAGCTTCAGCAGAGGCTATCACTTAATCAGGCATCAGAGGACCCACTCAGGAATCACCTCCCAGCTAGGACCCCATGAGAGGAGATCTTCCTTCAGCCCTGACCCCGGGGTAGGCGAGGAGCAGCCCTCTGGTTATCCTGGGGAGACCTTTTCCGGGGAGTCTTTCTGACTTGCCCAGATTGACATAAGCTCTTTCCACAATTAAGTAAACGCCCCTATCAACTTCTCCTTAAGGAGCTATTTTGCCCAAAGTACACCCTGAGCTGAGGCTTCTTGACTGGAGTGTTCCTGCCTCTCTGTCATCGGTATGAGGCAGGAAAATTAGAAGTCTTAAGAGTTGTGGTTATTATATTTCCCCAGAAATAGGCTGTTAGATACCTTACAGACCAGGCAGCCTCGAGTTGGAGTTGCCCAGGACAATTCCTTAGGTTTGGTAAGGGCTCAGATCTTAAAGCACACAGCCCTGAACTCACGGCCAGATATTTGCATCCAGATTGCTTTGCTAGCCACTCACGGGATAACTACACATCTCACTGATTCACTTCCTCACCGGGCACTGTCCGTGACACTGGGGAGAGATTGGAGAAGTGTCAGATGGGCGAAAACCTCAAAGCTGCTTCACACGGACCTTGACAGGGGGCTCCATTCCCATTGACAAAGTGACGCCAGTGCCAGACACTGCTAAAAAGGAGGACCTTTCCCAAGCCTCTTTCCTTGTGGGTTTTTCTCCCCCTCCTTTTAGAATTCTCACGCTGTTCGTCTTCCTACTGTCCTACCAGTTTCTTGGTTTTGTCCCCAACACTTTCTACTACAAGTGGGATGTGGCATTTGGGTGCCAAGGGATTTAACAAAACATAATCATAATGAAACATTTACATTCCCACATATGTACAAGCCTGCCCGCCCACCCAACCCTCTCCACAGGGGTCTGTGAGGGCCTGTTGGAACAGTGTCGCCTTACAAAGGCATTGGGTCTCATCGCTCACATAAAACGAGATCTGGGATCAGATTATGGAACAATTAAGAAAAGGCTGTTCCTGCTGGCCGAGGCTTTCAAGACTATTCTGACACCTAACTCCCCGCATCCCTATCCTGGTTCTGTGGTATCAGGGAACATAAGGAACCCCAGCACCTGGGACCCTGAAGAATTTACTAAAAGTAAATGGCTTTCACGTGTTTGCATTGTCTGCTTCTCTGTGATTTCATTTTCATGTAATTAAGAACTAAGTCATAGTATCCTATTGCCTGGTAAAGGTTCTGTGGAAATGAGGCTGAATAACTTAACTATGAACCTCACTTGCTTTGATTGTGCGAGTGGCAAGGACTGGGGAGACTGTCCTCCTTACATGGAGCACAGGGTATGGGATTAAAGCATGAGAAGAGGGAGACATCTTCTGTGCCTGGTTTCTGTTGCTCTTTTTTCCAATCCTTTGTACACCAGCGGAACATGGGCATAAGAACAAGACCCCATCCCTAACACCTCAATTAGGAAATTCTCATTTTGGTCCGTAATGATATTCCAGTTGATTGGTTTGGTTTTAGTGCCAGTCTGCCATTGTCCATTGGAAATGTGCACATGGAAATAAATGAAAGTAACACTGGTAGTCAAGTTCCTTGAGTTTTTTTGTTTTATTTCCCCCATTGACTGCCTTCTTCCTTCCCCAGGCCTTCAGCACCCTATTGTGTCCATGGGTTATTTGCATACAAGGTATTCGGTTGATACCTCCTACCCACCTCCCTCCCCCTACTTCCCTTTGAGATTCTGCTTTCCTCTATGCTTCCATGTCTCTGGATCCACTCCGTTCATTGGTTCATTTTGTTATTTAGATTCCACATATGAGTATAATCATGTGATACTTGTTTTTCTCTGACTGACTTATTTCACTTAGCATGATACTCTCCAGGTCCCTCCATGCTGTCTCAAAAGGTAAGAGATTATTTTTTATTGCTGCATAGGAGTCCATGGTATAAATGGACTTTTTTATCCACTCATCTACTGATGGCACTTGGGCTGTTTCCAAATCTTGGCTATTGTAAATTGTGCTGCTATAAACATAAGGATGCATACATTCTTTCTGACTGGTTGCTTTGGGTTTCTTAGGATATATTCCTAGAAGTGGGATCACTGGGTCAAATGGTAGTTCCATATTTAGCTTTTTGAGGAAACTCCATACTTTTTTTCCATAATGGTTGTACCAGCCTGCATTCCCAAAAGTGTACTAGGGTTCCCCACCCCCTTTTTAAAAAAAATATATTTTTATTGATTTCAGAGAGGAAGGGAGAGGGAGAGAGAAATATCAATGATGAGAGAGAATAATTGATTGGCTGCCTCCTGCATGCCCTCTACATGGAGTCAAGTTTGTTACCGGCACATACCCTTGACTGAAATCTCACCTGGGACTCTTCAGTTCCACAGGCCAACGCTCTATCCACTGAGCCAAACTAGCTAGGGCTCCCTTTTCTCCACATCCTTGCCAGCACTTGTCATTTATTGATTTGTTGATGGTAGCCATTCCAACAGGTGTGAGATGGTACTTTATTGTTTTGATTTGCACCTCAAATGATTAGTGACTGAGCATTTCTTCATGTATCTCTTGGCCATTGGTCCTCTTTTTAAATGGATTGTTTGTCTTTTAAGTTGTATGAATCCCTTGTATATTTTGGATATTAACCCTTTATCAGATGTATCATTGCCAAATATTTTCTCCCATACAGTGGGCTCTTCATTGTGTTGGTGGTTTCTCTTGCTGTGTAACTTTGTATTTTGATGTCTCATTTATTTATTTTCTCCTAGTTTCCTTTGCCTTGGGAGATGGGTCTGTAAACATAATGCTATGAGATGTCAAAGATTTTGCTACTATGGTTTCTTCTAGGATTTTTATGGTTTCATGACTTACATTTAAGTCTTTTAATCCACTTTTAGTTTATTCTTATGTATGGTGTAAGTTGCTGGTCTAGTTTCATTTTTTTCCATGTATCGGTCTAATTTTCCCAACATCATTTATTGTAGAGACTCTTGACTCCATTGTATGCTCTTGCCTCCTTTGTCAAATATTAATTGAGCTTCATGGCTTGGGTCAATTTCTGGGTTCTCTGTTCTGTCCCATTGATCTGTATGCCTGTTCTTGTGCAGGTACCAAACTATTTTGATTACAGTGGCTTTGTAGTATAACTTGGAGGAATCACAATTTCAGACATCAAGTTATATTACAAAACTACACTAATCAAAACAGTCTGGTACTGGCACTAGAACAGGAGGAGGAGGGAGGGGAAAAGCCACAGAAGGTGAAATTGGAAAAATGGGCGGGTTTGAGATGGGTTTTCTGTGGAATGTAAAGCTGCTGTGTTTGTTGAACAGAACAAGACAAGGCTGTGTCCTGCAAGTCTGATCCTCACTAAGGGGGAAGAGCAGAGTCTGCCTAGATGAAGCTGCAAAACTTCACTTCACGCACGTTTGAGTTACCTGGGTTCTTTTCTACGAGCATCTGTCTCTCTCACTGACTGTGTAAGATGTGTCCTGTGGGGTGATGGCTCCTCTGAGAAGCGGGTGAGAGGGACGGGCACCGGTGGTACAGAAGGTGACGTTAGCTTTAATGACAAATTGTCCACTGCTCTGAACTCTGGGTAGGCGGAGAACCAGAGGCCCGTTACGTTATTGTTGTGTCTTCCTGCCGCTGTGAGAGCCCGTGTGCTTCCGCCCCAGCAGCCCACCTTGAGCTTCCCAGACACGTGGTTGGAAAGCGCTCCCTCAGAGGAAGCGGAACAGCCATCGTGGGCTGAAGTGCACGTTTACATTTACGTTTTATAAAGCCGTCGATCACGTTTTAATCTATAAGTTATCTGTGAAAACAAAATAACCCACACCTTTTTGTTTTATCACTTATTTATTATTTATATTTTAAAATCCACATCGTTTTAGAGCCGTCAAGAGCCAGCTATGAAAGCAAAGTCAGTGTTTTAGGTAGTGCAATATTTCCGGCTGCTGAAGAGTGATATGAAAAGACAAACTCTTCCTCCTCGGCAAGAGAGACCTAGAGCGGATGCTTAGAAATTACTACCCGCACCCAATCCCACACAGGATGATTCTCAGGTGATGGAAATCAAGATGGGGTCCCATCTCTTCGTGCAGGTTGACAATTCTATGGGCCCTAGCGTAACGCGCAAACCTGCTCAGTGTGCACACCCACGCTCATCAGACCTCTGGAGGAATGGAGCATTTAAAAAAAGTGGCAAATCCATAGAGTCAGGGGTTACTAACAAATCTTAAATATGGAATTCCTGTCTGTAGATTCCTTGCTGTGTTTCCATGACAGTAAAACACACACCGGCCTCCCAAGGGGCTCGGCACAGCCAAGCCTGGACATTAACTGGTTACGGGCGCCCATCTCCACAGAAGCCGTGGAGACAGGTCACGCCCATTCGCCACCAACCCGAAGGTTCTTGCTGGAAGGTGTTTGCTGCCTGGAAGGGAGCTAGCGACAAGCCCAAGCCGCTCCATAGAGCAGACGAGAGACCAGGCACTCCTGGCTTCTAGTCCGGCTCAGTCTCCGTGGTGGGGAGACTGAAGGAGTGTGATGAGGTGGAAGAGTGTGGATGGTTGTCAACATGGACCATGACACGGCCTTTGCCTCAGTTCCCTGGGTCTAGAGTCCAGTTCTGATGATAAAGGTGAAGAATGAGGACAGAAGAGCACAATGGTTTGACAAAAACCAACAAACAGTAAAACAAAGCAAACCAACCAGGGGCCGTGAATTTCCTGAGACTCGGGAGCTGAGCCGGTGCAGAGATCTCCTGGGTTTCCTGTGCTGAGGATGGACGGGGGCGAGACCTCAGTTTCATGGATTTTACGATCTGAGCAAAGCCATGCCCAGAAGGACAGGACCTTGGCTAAGATTTGTTTCCTCCTACTTCACAGGCGGGCAGAGAAGCAGGAGGAAGGCAGCTGCTCCTGGGAACCAGGAGGCTTTGGGTAATGGCTGCACCTTCTAGAAATGGAGCTGTTCTTAGGGCCAACTGGTGTTTTCTGGCAAACCCAAGATGTAGGGTGAACGCATTTTCTGGAACATGCCAGTGGAGGCGCCCTAGCAGCTGGCCTGCTGAGGACTCGGAGCATCTAGGCCAATGGGAGCAGCGCCCACACTTCTGTGCTCATGACCTTCCAGCAGGCACCTCTGCTCCCTGGGGAGCAGCGGGTCTTGGCCGTCTGGAGAGAGGCTGCTGGGGATGGGCTGGAGGCTGAGACTGTCGGATGCATAGAGGCTACCTGAGTAGTTTTCAGAAACAGGAGTGTCTCACGCGAATTAGGCTTCGTGCACACAGGCCCAGGTCATGGAAACCGGCCTGGAGCCTTGGCGTGCCTGGGCCTTGTCCATGCACAGCGCACTCAGAAACGTAAGGACACACAGGCTCATCAAAGAGCAAACGATCAAAAAGAGAAGCCCCGCCACCGTCGTGGGCCTGGGCTTCCGGCCACTGGGAGTACCGAGAAACGACCGATGCTGGCGGAATCTGGAGGTTTATTTCCGACCCCCCTTCCATTCGTGTCACCTGGAGAATGTTGTGTAGAGTCACACGTGCGTCCCAAGTTCTTGAGGCCACGGGCGTCTCATGGCAACAGGGAGGGAGTGAGGGCTGCAGTCACCTGGCATGTTGGTCTCGGGCCCGGGGCACGCTGCCTCCTGGAGCAGAGGCCCGGTGGGCAGGAGTGTGTGAGGCAGGCAGCCAGCACCGGAGCTAGGACAGCTCGAAGCCCGTGTTCATGCTGATGGCGTAGCGCAGCTTCTCCCGCAGGACGCTCTTCTTGCTGTAGTTGGGCAGCTTGAGCAGGTTGAAGCAGGTGGAGGAGGTGGGCAGGCGGCCGCCTGGCTCCCGCTTGCGGATGGTGAAGAAGCCCCGGAGCACGCTGCCCAGGGTGTCCCCAGTGTCCTGCAAGCACACGGCACAGCCGGGGTTGGAGGTGCCCAGTGAGGGAGCCTGCCAGGACGGGAGGACCTGGGTGCTGAGTGGGATGTGCACACCGCCCTGGCGAAGCTGGGCCTTGAGTGGGCACTCCACCACCAAGGCCGGCCCACACCGAGGACGAGCCTCGAGAGGTGAGTGCACAGAGCAGCCCCCCTCCTCGGGCAGCACAGGGACTCCTGTGTTAAGGATGCGCCAGGAAATGGGGCCTCTGGGTAACCGCTAGTTATTGAGTAACCAATCTTCAGAGAGCTAGTGTGCAGCGCAAATGCTTTAGATCCCCAAACATGTCTGAGTGCAGCCTCATGCTTCCTCTCCGACCTTGCCAGTGCTTGGCCTGGCCAGACTAGCTTGGGGCAGCCTCCTCCAGCCAAGGGGGCTCGTGTCCCACGGGGAGGATCTGCAGCCCAGATTGCAGCATCCTGAAAGGCGTGGCACTCAGGCCACCAGGCTGCAGGAATGGGGGGAGGGCGGGAGGGAGACACTTATAACAGGGGCTACTCAGCACCAACCCTGCAGAGGATGACAACCCCTAGGGCATTCATTCCCTTCATAAAAGACAGGAAGCGGAGCAGCCTGCCCAGCTGTGCGCCAGCAGGTGGAGAGGTTGGCATTCAAACCTGTGCCTGTTCACTCCCTAGGCCCATGCTCTCACCGTCTCCCACACTGCCTCTCAGACCTAAAAACACTTCCTCCCTGAGGGAGGAAGGAGGACCAACTGAGCTGAGGCAGCAGTCAGCCTGCTCCCAGGAGGACAGCAAACCTCCCTGGCTGCCCTGCGGTGGGCATCGTGCACAGCCCTCCCCAGCCGTGGTACCTGGTCATCCGACACTTCGACACAGCGGATGGAGAAAGGAGGCTTGAGGTAGGCGAATCCCAGGAGCGGGGGCCTGGAGCAGCTGGTCACAAACTGCAACACAAGGCGGGTCAGGGATCAGGGGGGCCGGCACCCCCTCAGAAATGGGCCCTCAGTCTCTCACTGCTCCAGTCCCGGGCCAGTCTCTGCTGCTCGGCCGACAGGACGGGTCACAGCGGGCACGTGGCCCAAGGACTGGGGCACACCTCACACGAGTCTTAAGGGCTGGTCTCAGACTAAAATGCGTGAAATCCACGCCAGTGGACATGACTAGCCTTTGAGGGTGTCTGGTGGAGGACGTGTGGAGTTCAGGAACAAACTCCCACCGGGGAAGGGTCTCCAGTGGGGCTGTCACGTTTTGAACATTACAACTTGAAAGACCCCAGTACAGGAGTCCTGGTGAGTGCCAGCCACTCTATTTGCGAAACATACACTAACAGCCCCTTTGTGCGCATTGTAGTGGGACGTTGCACGTGTGGTGTGTGCGCAGACTACTGAGAAAAAAGCTGCGCAGAGGTAGTCCCATTTCTCCAGAGGTAGAGATGAGACCGTTTAAATCCTACCCTGTAGAACAGACTGTCTCTAGTTTCTTAAGGCAACAGCACCACTCACTTCTATACCGACGGGAAAGCAAGGGAGGCGTGAGCAAGGCTGGCCCCAGTGAAGGGGCAGAGGGAGTGACAGGCGGAGTCCCTGCAGAGGTCCGCGCAGGCTCGCTCACCTGGAGGCCCTCCCCAGTTCCTGCCTGACCTGCCTACTTGGAAGGTATAGCCCGCCAATGGGACGGCATGCTGATGACAGGAGGTCCTCTTTTTTGTTTTTGTTTTTTTAAAATATATTTTATTGATTTTGTACAGAGAGGGAGAGAGATACAGAGTTAGGAACATCGATGAGAGTCATCGATCAGCAGCCTCTTGCACATCCCCCAGTGGGGATATGCCTGCAACCAAGGTACATGCCCTTGACCGGAATCGAACCCGGGACTTTTCAGTCCCCAAGCCGACACTCTATCCATTGAGCCAAACCGGTTTCGGCAGGAGGTCCTCTTGATCATGTCATTTCCCTTCGAGTGTAAGTTATTACACTGGTCTAGTTTCAGGAGAATATCTACGTATGCACGCACACACGTCTAGGTAACATGCACAGTACCTTCAGAAACATGGCTCTCTCGTTGGGCGTGAAGTCGGAGGCCAGAATATCCCAGAGCCAGATAATGACCCTGTGGCTTCCATGAAAACCACCGTAGTACACTGTGTGCTTCCTGAAAACAATGAGACACAGCTCAGTCGCACAGACACAGGTAAGCATGGCATTTAGACCCGCACTACTCACTACCTAATTCTCTGAAGCCAGAGTTCATGCCTTAATGACCCCATGTCCCTGGAAGCCAACGGGGCCGCGAGTTCAGGAGCTGGCTGCTCCGGAGCAGAAGCCAGTGGGAAGCCCTGCCACTAGTCCCGAGGACCTCAGAGAGCCCAGCGGTCCTCAAGGTCTGCTTCGCTTCGGTTTCTAGGCACACAAGTGGTTGGGTTCTTATTCCAACCAGTTCCCCCCATGAGCGGGGAGGAGAGCAGTGGAGATGGGCCCTGAAATAACTGAGTGAAGAGGACCCTGCGAGGGGGCCGCCTGCTTTTTAGGCCTAAGAACCTCGCCCTTGCAAGCTCACTCCCTCCTTACTTCAAGTCCTCCAGGTCAATCTCAGCGTTGTCACCGGAGATGAGGCGCTGGAGCTCGGGGGTTGAGAACATCCGGATCCACTCGGGTTTGATGATAGAACGGAATCCGCTGATGAGGGCAGCCGTCTGGTTTTTGATTTGAGTGTGCATTCGGAAGTGTGCCATCAGGTGGATGTAGCTGATTCTGTTGCCGACAAAAGAAAACAATGGGAATTAACAGGACAGAGTGGGCTGTTCCCAATGGGCTGGTCATTTCTGTTTCATCTTACAGAAACACAAATAGTACTAGAACATTTCACCACAACCACCAGATGACGACGACGGCTCTCCTGAACAGTACACTGCGTGCCCAGGGCATTACCTCATCACTTCGCCAAAAAGAACAGCACAAAACAGTGGGCCATTCGTTAGGATAACACCCCAATGTGTCAAGACTCAAAGCAAGACATTCTCCAGGTAAGGAGAGGGCCTTCTTGGTACAAAGGGTATTTTTCCAGTCTTGTATTTAATTTCATCCTTTTGGGCATACACCAATTAAGATGTAATGTAGTCCTCCTCTAAGCTTTAAAGCAGAGAAAAACTGCTTCATGCAGAAACTTCCATTAAAACCTTGCTCATCTGGACCAAGAGGGAGGCTGTGCAAAGGCGAGGCCTCAGAAAGTTCTGGTCAGATGCAGCTGGCTCACATTCAGTTTCAACTAGGACGTCAGAACACCAACCACGGTTCCAGCAGATGGTCTCCTGGGTCTGCTTTTATGAACACAATGGCCGCATGTACAACATAAAATGTACTACAACTGAACAGATATATAACCCAACAAATACAACAGATATATAACCCAACAAATATAACAGATATATAACCCAATAGGGTTGCTAGCTTGCTGATTTTTTAAGCGAGCATGCACTCAGAGTTGAAAGACCTCGAGCCCGGCCCACGCATAAATCTCAAAATTCCAATCAGTCCAGTCCAAATAAACGTGTTCCCGCAGCACTCAGATCTGAGTGCCTGGCCTTGAAACAGCCCATTTTAAAAAGTATCCAGCGGCAAACTTGCACATCAGTACACTTCAAGATGACCTTTTCTACTACTGTGACTCTTTTCCTTGACTCTTGGAAGCCGGTTACTAGTTCTGTCCCATTTCACCAAAGGAAGAGAGGGACTCTCCCATTTCACACCTCAGAAGTGCAGGACCCAGCATCCCCTGAAGGAGGAGAAACGGGCACCGCCAGGCCTCGCAGGAGAGGTAGCCTGCAGCACCGAATCGCTCTCACCCTGAGCTTTACACTGAGAACGTGGAAGAGCGTGGGAAAGGACACCCTGGAAGGCCTTTTGCATACGCTTTCTCCTGCAGAGCCCTCTGCAGGGATGGTGAGAGGGAACACAGGGGCTCCAGACAGTCCCAGGCTCTGTTCTTCCTCAGCTGTCAAACTAACGCCCAGAGGCAAATCAAACTGGTGCATCTCAAACTGACGAGAACTGGGTCTGTGCTGAATGAAAGCTCCCAAGCATGAGACTGACCGAGCCATCCCAACCAGAGACGTGATGCCGGGCTGGAACGTGCATCTGATCCAAGTAGGACCGAGCTCTCACGGGTCACTGAGGAGAGTGACACTCAGATTAATATTCAGATGCTCAGCAGAGTCCGGTGGCAAGAGAAGACGGACAGATTGACAGACAGGCCTACTAGTATAGCTACCCTTCATGCCAGGTTCTACTGTTATAATTTGGTGATAATAGGCCGGGTGGAGACAGTGCATTGAGGAGTCTGGCTTCTAGGGACCAAAGAGGTTGACATTTGTGACAGATTCCTGAAAGCCTGGGACCTTCGGGCACACAGTCCGGAATGCAGTTCTCTGTGACAATAGCTGCCGAGCCTCAGAAGCTCCCCATACCTCGCCGCTGTGTTCTCAAGCCCAGGCTTTCTACCACCACCACCACGCGCTGTCATCCCTACACGATCTGCCCCTCCAGGTGCCTTCTGCCTCGGTGCTCTCTGCATCCCGGACTGTGTGCCCGAAGGTCCCAGAATCCATCTGTCGTTAAAGTCCTAGGAACACTGCCTCTGGCCTCAGAAGTGCTACTGCAAATAATCACGTGTCAATTCTTATTTTGCACATCGAATTTAATACAATTTTGGTCTAGAAACTGCAACCATTATAAGTTCCATTATAATACTTATGGCTTTTCTACTTCAATGTATCTTAATAAATTCTCAAAGTAAGCCCGGAGAGCCAGGGTGAAGTCTTCTCAAGTGATGACCTTAAAAATCGAATTGCGATACTCACTTATTTTCATTTGTAACAGGAATGGTCTTCCCTCCGGGAATCAGTTCATGGCAAACGAGCTAGGAGGGAAGAGGGGGAACAATCACTCGAGAGGATTTTAATGGGGAAAAAGCTTTCTGCAGACAAAAGGGCCGATACCCACGACCGGAACAACGACAGAATTAAGATGGGACATGTTTGAACAATCATTTCCACAAAAAGCCTGGGCTTACACATCAGCAAGCAGACCCTACATGATTAATACCAAAGGTTAAAAAAAAAATGATGTGGGTGCCAGGGAGAAAGATCTGGAAGGCCAGCCACATGTTGCCAGTGGCACTCTCCGGGCTCTGCCACTCCAGGCAGATTTCATTTTCACTGTATGCTCACATTCTAGCTGATGTTTGGTTAGGAGTCTGCATTATTTTTACAGTCAGGAGAGAAAATTAAGACTGTCAGGAAGTAGCCTCAAAATCTGATGAAAGATTCGGAAACTATAGAATCAACTGCTCTCCTCAACGTCAAGAACTTCAGTGGACCATCTAAAGAAATCCCCCCGCAAGGTGGGACAGGAGAACTGGCACGGGAGCCAGAGAAAAGAGCGGCCGGACAGACAGACACTGTTTGGGGACCGTTGGGGAAAGCACCAAGGACAGGGCAGGCCTCAGGAAGCCCAGAGGGACAGAAAGAAGACTCCAGCCCCAGAAGCTGACCCACCTGACCCATGACGTCTTCATCGTACGACAGCGTCAGGCCCAGGTCGGAGATGTCCCCATCGTAGCGCTAAGACGACAGGGAAGGGAAAGGGTTGGGACCCAGCAGGGCTCTGCTTTGAAGAAATGACGCTCCTACGAGGTCTGCTTAGGCATCGACTGCTGTGGCCACTGAACAGCGGGAAGCAAAGGAGACAACCACGCATCCCCTCGAGGAAGGAGGCCCTGAGAGGCAGGGTCCGAGGCACGGGGGGCAGGAACCTCGTCCACCACACCCACCCTGCGGGGCTTCACTCGCCGGTGCCTTCCCGCCAGCGCTCAGCCAAGCCCCGCCTGTCCACACTGACCTTAATGGAGGTGAGGTTTTTGTAGAACTCGGAGTCCAGGGAAGGCAGCTCGTCCACGGAGCTGTAGAAGACACTGTGGTGGTGCCCGAGCAGCTGGCTCAAGAAGAAGGATGCGAAGGGCACGTCCACCACGATCCCCTGCGGGAGGAGACAAGCTCGCCACCGCCGTCTGTCCAGAGTCCGCCCCAATCACCCCATCAGGGGCCGCTCAGGCCCAGAGGCACCAGGAGCGTCTCCAGGCACTTCCGGAACCTCCAACCTGGACGCTACCTCCCCATCACTTCACAAACCCAGTATGTCCAGTGGGGACGTCTCAGCATGGTGGTTATGGACATGGGCTTTGGAGCCACACTGCTCAGGGGTCAAACCTAGCTCTGCTGCTGCCCCGCCACGGAGCCTCAGTTTCCCACCTGCAAACGGGTGACAGCGCAGCCTGTCTGCTGTGAGACTTGGGGAGCAGGCTGTGGGAGCTCAGAGGACACGCTCCTGCTGGAGGCAGAGCAGGGCAAACAGCAGGCCCCGTGCCCCCATTTCTTCCATCTGCACTATTGTTGCTGGAGAGGGAGGAGACAGAGGCGAGGCTCTGGAAATCGAGGAGGCCTTCACACCACCCCTCACCCTTCAGCGAAGCGAAGGGCAGGTTTAGGACTCGGGGTGGCCTGGGTTCACATCTGCATTCTCCCCTCAATGAACGATGCGACTCTGGACAAGCGCCTCCTCGAGCCTCCGCTCTCCCGTCCTTACACATACAGGACAGCGGCGGCCACGCCACGAGGTGCTGAGGATTCAACGAGCAGCACAGGAGTACAGTATCTCTGTAAGCAATTGTGTGCCTGTCCTTCCTTCCTGACTTTATCCCAATGACAGGCAGTTGGCCCGGCTAGGTCTGATCACAAATGCATACAAAGCCATGGTACTTCCCACGTTTCGTCTTCCTCTCCAGTCGGATGCTCCTCCCCGTGCCTACCTCATACACGGCCTTCCCCAGCATCTTGCCCACGAACTCAAAGAGTTGCAGGTAGTTCTCGTGGATGTAAGAGGTGGGCGAAGGGTAGAGCCTCTCATCCCCACTGGTTGTCTGGGAGAAAACAGGTGGACAGATGCAGGGAGGTGAGGCCTTGGGTCAAGAGGCCCAGCCCTTTGCGTCTCGTGGCGCCTCAGTGTGGCGGCTGGCAGCCCCGCTGCCTCCCCTGGAATACCTTGAACAGGTTGAGTGCCGGGTCAAACACCCTCTTGATGATCTCTTCCAAGAACTCCTTGAAAACACCGTCTTGATCAATCCCTGCCTCGTCCACCCCGAGGTCGTTGACAAACTTCACGCGGATCACGCCCTTCATGGCGTGCTGGGACAGCTGCCGCAGCTGCTCGTAGCCATCCTGCCGAGGGCAGAAGTGCAGCCCATTAGGACCCCAAGGCCCGCTGCACACTCAGGGCTCCCCCTAAGGCTCTCCTCCCTGTGGGAAGCTCTCGGAGCAGGAAGCAGGACCAGTGGCCCCTTTCTGGCTCCCAGGGCCTTGATTCCAGTGTCATTAGATAAAGGAGTGACAAGAACAGTTCAGAGGCAACAGGTTCACCCGCTGACACGCCTGCCCTCCACCGAGCACACTGCTTGTGAGCTTCTCACCTCCAACATCCGGGACCGTCGGATGGTGATGTGGGTGACGTGAGGGGAGGCGGAGCTGGTCTCCACAAGCCCCAGCTTCTCCTTCTCCTTGGTGACCATGTTTCGGAACAGGAGAACTCTCTGAAACAAGCAACGGTGAGACCAGAGAGAGGTCAATGGCCGACGATTCCCTAAAACACACTGTACAAGATCCATGGCTTTTACGTCATTTGCAGTGGGATGCTTCCGTAAGTTAACAGTGAGTTGAGGGAACAGGAAACCTTCCCCAAAACACTCTTGGAATTAGAAATATAGCTTCTTCCCTCCCTCCTACATTCTCTCCAGTCAGACAGTCCATCTATCTGGCTCTCCAGCAGCACTGCATTCTCTCACTCGAGTCCTTCAAAACACTGCCCACTTCTGCCTGTGCTCCAACCCCTTTCTGGGCTCCCCCAGCATCCAATCCTGTGGCACACACCCCACTGTACAGGACGGCCAGCTCATAGCGCCTTCAATCCTGTACCCCTAGCATTTAGCTTCATGCCCGACACAGAGTCAGATCCAGTCACCGTTTGCTCTGCTGAATGAGTGAGCGCGTTTATTTATTTCCTGCTGGGAACAGAGATGGAAGGCCAGGAGCCACGTGGTGGAAGAGAAAGATGCATAGGGCCCAGCTCTGAGTGCCACTCACGTTTTTGTGAGGAATGACGTGAGGGATGTACTGCAGGACCAGCTGGGCCCTCTTCCTGTCCTTGTCCAGTTCTTGGAAGAGCACACTAGGTTTGAGATCCCTTAAAAAGAAAGACATGGGCTTGGGATAATGAAAACAAAACATCCACCATTCTTGGCAAACTGCACCCTGCGGGCCATATGCAGCTGCCGCCTGTTTCTGTCAAGTTTTATGGGACACACCACACACTCATTACGTGTTGTCTCTGGCTGTTTCCGTGCCACAGAGACTGGTCTGCAGAGCCTAGAATAGTCACTGTCAGGCCCTTTACGGAAGCAGCTGGCCAGTCCTGCTCTAGCGCTACTTACACAGGAGTTGACATGTCATGGATAAGTCAATGTGGACACGACCTTATGTTTAGTTGTTGCAAGAGGATTCCGCAACCCCATCCCCCAAAACACCTCGCTGTAGTTTTTATCCTGCTCATTCTGATTGTTAAAAACTGCCGTTTGCCTAGCATTACCTGTAGCTCAGTTCAGCTGAACATTTTTCTTATCCCAGTTTGGATATGAAACACTTGCTAAATGTGACCGGGCTCTGCTGCTATAATGAGTCGAACCATCCATAAAATGGGGACACACATTTTAACAGAAGTGACTGCCAGGTGACCCGTCCTGACAGGTGCAGGAGAACAGGTCTCCTTATGCGGGTGAAAGCTGGAGGAGAGGGACAAGTTCCCCCTGCCCTGGGATGTGAGTGCAGCGTCCATAAACACACCTCCCCACCCCGGGCGCTCACTTTCGCAGCCAATGGTCGTCGGGGGCGAAGCGGCGCCGACAGTCCCGCTCATACAGCACCATCAGCCACCCGTGGACGGACTGGAACAGTTCCAGGGTCTCGCCCTTGGCGTTCTCTGTGGGCACACAAGCAGGGGGCACCCTCACGAAGCTGATCAGAACGGAGACGAACTGAAAGGACAGCTCTGGTCATTAAGTCCCACCGCGGCCTTCCTCCCCCTCACTGTGAGTCCTGCATGGCACACAGAGCTGAAAGGCACCCTGGGTGTGTGTTCGAAGTGTCTACGGGCTGAGTAGCTCTTAGGCACAATCAGTCATGTGCCTCCCACTAGCACGTCATCTAAGGACCCTGTTAATCTAAGGAGCTTCGTTCTGAACCACTAGAAACACATCACGAGGTACATCTTTAACCGGAGGTGTTAGCTGGCACACATTTATCTTCTCAAAGTAAAATCAACACACAGAATCAAAAGGAGATGAGGGGCAAAATTAATCATCACTAATAATTCCTGATACAAGCAAATCTTGAAAAACATGGGAGAACAAGACTTGTTTAACCTCACCACTGTCTTCAGAGGTCACAGATAGAGAATGAAAGAAGGAAACCTCTAATTAGGTGAAGAAATATGCATTTTCCATTAACGTTGACAGATAATAAGGCTAAGAACATCCGTGTTACTGACTGACCTCCCTGCCTGTAGCATCAACAGAACAGTGGCCGCCACCTTTACCTTACCTACGATTCCATCCCAGATCATCTTAAACACAAAGGAATTCAGAAAGGAGGAGATGGTGACCAGCTCTTCCAGTTTGAATGAAATTTGTTCTTCGTAAACTTCAATGTCATCAAGGATCCTAAATCAGACAGAAAGTTATTCACAATTATCCATTGAGGAAAGGCAAAAACAAAACAAAACACTTCTTAGAGGACAAAATAAGATAATGAAATAAATTCTATCTTTTACACCTCCTGTAAAATTTACAGATAAAGTAGTAAATGTCTAGAATATGGTTCAAAACAATGAGGGAGAGGAGAACGGGTGAGCGTACAGATGAAGCAAGACTGGCAATGAGTTAACTGTTGAGACTGGTGATGGGTGCATGAGAAGTCATTGTACGATATTCTCTCTATTTCCTGTTGACTTGAAATTGTCCCCAGTAAAGTTAAAAGTACCATTCTCCCCTGCTCTGTATTTCAGCTCTATCTGAAAATATCCTAAAACGGCTCCATTCCCTTTAGAATAGGAGTCACTCTTGGGTCACCCGTGACCCAGCAGGTCAGGGTCTGCACCAGCAGCTACGGTCCCTGCTCTTGCCTCCAACCTCTCACTGAGCCCTTCCCTCCACGATTCTTAGCCAATCTGCCACCTCCAAGCCCCTGATGCCTCCTGCCAATGCTTCTAGCCTGAACGTAACTGCCTATGGTCCATTCTATCTTATAATTTTTCACCAGCCTTTTGGGGGGAAAGTGGAATTAAAAGAACACCAAATACAAGAGCAGACACCTAAGCTTAAAGAACAAAGGAACTAAATGGGACTGGCATTTGTTAATGTCTCATTCTGTGCCAGGCACTGTGCTAACTACCTGACATTCCTTTTCTCACTCCTTATCACGTGGTAATGTTATCCCCATTGCCCAGGGCACCTCAGTAAGTGGTGGAGCCAAGCTTTGCACCCTGACTCCCTGGCTTTGCAAGTTCCCAGTAGACTAGCACAGCGAGTCAATGGCCAAAGTTACTTAGACCCAGAGCCAAGAAACCCCAAAGCGCATGTTCAGGGGTGCCGACCCAGCTCCCTGAAAGGATGGGAACTAACAATTGCTGAAGCCCTACTATGTGCCACCCACCCTGTAAATGTTTCCTCATCCAATGCTTCTAAAATGTCATTTACAAAAGCAAGCAGCGGACCCTGCCATGCGGGGCCCAAAGCTTAGCAGGAATCGCGTCAGTAACCACTTCTTTCCTGCTACTGCATTCTAGGGAAGGAGCTCAGCAGTCAACCTACGTGATGAGGTGCCGGGAGCAGTCACAGAACAGCATCAGCATGGCCAAGAGCTGCTTGGACTCTTCAGTGTCATTGTTGAGGCATTCCAAGAAGAGCTTTAGCCCTCCGTGGGGCCCCAGCTCACAGATAAACGCCCACAGTTTGGGCAGCAGGTCATCCAGGTAAGTGAGACCTGGAAAAGGATAGAGAAACCCAAGCTTCAGGTGGGGCTCTGGCTGGTCCATTATCTCCCTTCCCACCAGGGAGACAAACACACCTCCCAGTGAGCATGCAGTGTGTGAGAGAGAAAGTGCAATTACCAAGAAAATCATTGTCACCATGAGACTAATAAGAGCTAACGTGGAATGGGTGCTTACTATGTGCCAGACACTGTTCCAAGTCCTTTACATGCATGACCTCCTTTCCAGTGTGAAACTCAATGTTATCTACAGTGAAGGCCAGAGAGGTTAAGTGGTTCAAAATCATACAGCCGGGAACTGTCAGAGCCAAGAGCAAAACCAGGTCTGTCTGACCCCGAGTGTGTATTTTAAATCAGAGATCAGCAAATTTCTTTCTGGGAAGGGCCAGAGTCGGTGTTTTTAGGCTCTGTAGGCCAATCGCTGTCACAACTACTCAGTGCAACTATTATAGCAGAAAAGTGGCTATTAGACAATATGGATGTAGCTTTGTTCCAATAAAACTTTATTTATAAAAGCAAGTAGTGGGTTGGCAGTGGCCCACAGGCAGTAGTTTATCGATACCTTCTTGAAACTATCTCGCACGCATGGGATTGAACCTGCAATCCAGCTATGTGCCCTTGACAAGGAATCGAACCTGCGACCCTTTCGTGTTTGGACTGACATTCTAACCACTAAGAACAGTGTCCAGGGAGAAGCAGAAGACACCTTAACCTCCTGATGGCAGAACTCTCCAAGCCCCCAGCTGGTCATCCCCTGCTCGGTAGACGGCACCACCCACACTGTCACTGGGCTAACAGCCTGGCATCATCTTTGAAACTGTTAGGCCTCACTCCCTCAAGTCCAACCCGCCTCTGAAACATCACACATCCTCCTGCTTCCATCTCCATCGCTACCCCAGTTCTGCCGTCCTCAGGGGGCACCTGGCAATGTTTGGAGATTGGTATGGGTGTCACAACCAGGAGGAAGGAGAGATGGCTACTGGCACTTATGGGTAGGGGCCAGAGGATGCTGAAACCCTACAACAAAGAATCATTGCCAAATCGTCAGCCCTCCTCCAGGCCAAACCTGCATTGTCACTCACTACTCCACCGCCCCAGGCCTTCATGACAGTGCATTCAGCCCATCTTACTCCTGGTCTCCCCACTAGGATATAACACAGACCGTGGCTCTGTGAGCATGTGAAGATGAAGAAATAAGTGTGAAAGGGAGAAGCAGCAAGAAGTTATGATTTAAAAGAAAAGTAAAATGCAGCAGAGAAGTTCAAATCCTTTATGTGGTCAACAGCTTCATGGCTTACAGACCTCTGTCCTCGTGACACCAGTTCATCCCAGCTCCTGCACTGCCACTTAAAGCCCCCGATGCCCAACTCTGCCTCACAGGGGACTTTCCTCCTTGCTTAGCTAGAAAGGACAATGGTGGGCATGTCCATCCAGTGTTCCAAGCAAAACTGTCAGCCCGACGTGAGCCACAAGAGGCCTGGGGCCTGCAAACCTGTGAGGATCTGCAGCCGGATCTGGGTCAGAGTGGTCAGCGAGGTCTGGTAGAGGACGCAGATGTTGCAAACCTTCTGCACCTCCGCCGAGTCCACGCGTCTGCCCCCGACGGGCTTGAGGATGTTCCGCACCGACGCCGACTTCTGAAAGGCACGCTTCAGGAGATCTGGCACGGAGAGAGAGGAACGTGTGAGCGGGAGTTCCAAGTTCAGCACCTGCCAAGGTCCACCCTGAGGGAAGAGCATTCCAGCGAAGCTCCGACTTTACCGCCACAGCCAGACATGGGGCTGCCGCCTGATCCCAGCATCTCCTTGGGATAAACCGGAAGCACGTTAACAAGAGGATTTTAGGTAAAACCCAAAGACATCTTCCGAATCAGGAAGTCCCATTCTTACAAGGGATCCTGTTACTGAGCTATTAACTTCAGAACCCACAAAGGTAAAATTCCCAGGACTATGTTAGGGGAGAGGGAGGTCCCGGTGTTAGGGGAGAGGGAGGCACAACTTCCTGTGCTTTGAGACGGAAGAAGGGGCGTCAGCCTCATGTGTGGATATTCAGCTCGGGGCTGCACTGTACTCTTGTTTCGACGCTTCCCATGAAATCCTGCGGAAGCTGTATTCGCCGAGCCCATGCCCACTGACGGGTGCAAGGTGGGGCTTTGCAGCACACCGGCTGGCAGAGGAAAAGCCGCCCGCACTGGAAACCAGGCAGGTCATTGCACTGAAGTGAGTGAGTGTTGGCGGCAGTTCCTCCCGCTCATCAGAGTGAGCCACAGAAACCTTCCCACAGGGCACTGCTGACCCTGCAGGGGGGGCACTGCTGAGCCGGAAGCCGGTCAGCGACCCAGTGGCCCCTTCATCAGCCGCCCAATGGGAGGTTTCCTTTACGATTACGAACTCAGAAAAGCTCTACTTCCCTAAGAAACAGGCCCTCGTATCTACAAGAAAGGGTCCCAAGTCTCTCTTCATTTTGGCAACTAGAAGTTCAGAGCCAAATGGAAGTGCCAAGAAAACCACGAATCCTTTATCAGTGGAAATTCTCTGTGCGCGACCTTGATTTTGTTCACCCATTTCTATCCCTAAGGACTTGCTGTCGTTGTGCTAAATGTAAAGTGATTTAAGCAGTTTCAAGGTCAGTGGGAGAGGTTCGGGGTCACAGGAAGAGCGGGCAGGGGCCCCGGGACACTCAGAGCTGCCCCTCAGCCCTGCGCAGCCACGGCCGGGCCCGCTCCAGCCACTCACTCTTCACGGGCAGCACGTTCTGCGGGGAGGCCGGCTGTGCGTGGGCCGCCGGCTCCTGGTTCTCCAGCAGCTTCTTGCTCAGGATGTCGCTGAAGAAGATCCGGATCAGAGGCACCCCCCACAGGAACTGCAGCTGCTTGGTGACCAAGGGCATTGACTCGTTGAGGCTGGGAGAGAAGGAGACCAGGGTGTCGGGTCTGCCTGGCGGAGGGCCAGGGAGAGCCCCGCGGTTCACTAAGGGGCCTCGCACTGGGAGGTGTAGCAGGACCTGCCACTCAGCACGGCCAATAAGATCCATTAGAAAGAGGGACCCACAAATTGCTGCTGAGGCCGGATGGGGAAGGCACTGCCCTTTATCTTCCCCGTCGCTCCACCCAGACTTCCTGTGCTGCTAGCAGCACTGCTGCTCTCCCTCGGTCCCCATGCTCCACATCAGACGCCCTTTATCTGCCTTCAGCCGGATTCCATCCTGTTTACCTCTCAGTGGACCAGCCATCTCACGCCGGCCGTCTTGTCCTGCTCGCTGCCAGCTGCAGGCCTTGCCCCTGCCCCGCTAACCCTCCTCCCTCCTGAAAGTCTCCCTGCCTTCCACTGCTCCCTTCTCCACTCTGCACCCACCCCAGCATCACTCACACCCTGAAACCGCCTTCGTCACCTCCCTGCGCCAGACCCTCGATGCCTCCCAGGATCACAGTGGTAACGGCCGAGCACAGGCCAGGCCTGCAGGAGGCTCTGACGCGCTTTATGTCCTTCGACTCTTTGAGACACTGTACCCATACTGCAGATGAGAAAAGGGAGGTGCAGTGACAGTCCAAGGTGCCCCCAGAGAACGGGTGCAGCTGAACCCAGGCTGTTTACCGCCCCACCTTCAGCCCACACATCCCGATGCCCACCACACAGGCCCTTCCCTCCTCTTCGGTCTGGGGCAGCGCTCTGGGCGGCAGTTGGTAAATAGTCTTTTTAACTGGATGCCACTCAGGCACAAGGAAAAGGGAGAAAATCGAGGATGTCCTTCCCTGGCCCTCAGTTTCCTGCCTCGAGCCCCCGGCAGGGACCCCAGGCCCTGGGCTGACATGGGGAGGAAAACAGCTGAGCAGCATGCGCCTTAGGTCCTGAGACCCACTTCATTTCGGCCCTTACTTCACCTCTACCTTCTACAGGTGTTTTTAAGACAGTATTTTTGAGTTCTTGTTTAAAAACATTAACATTTACATTCCACCTCCTGAAAAATATGTGGAGTGATTTCTATTCCCTTTGAATCATGTTCCTTATTTTAGTTTCCCCAAAATATGGCAATCTAGGCAATCAATAAAATGACACTGAAGAAGGAAAGTGAATATTAATAGATATTGCTTATAATTTACTAAGTGAAAAGAACAAAATACACATTAGTACGATCCCATCTTTGTGAAAAAACTGGTAGGATGTAGACTGAACGGAAGTGCACACAGGTTGTCTTAGGAGACGATTTTTATTCTTTTACGTTCTTACCTGTTACTTACACAATGACTACATGTGACGTTTACAATAGGAAACAAACAACACAAGCTACAATGAAGAAAGAGGGAGAGGTGGGGGAGGGGCAGGGGAGGCAGGAGGGACCAGGCTTTGCCCTGGGACTCACCCGTAGTCCACCGACTGGGAGAACCAGCCAAGGACGGGGTGCCAGTGGGTCAGGTTGGATTTCTTCTGGGTCACGTACTTCTGACAGTAGCACAGCATCTGCGTGAGCAAACTCACAAACCCATCCGTCTCCTCCTCCAGCACGCGGGGGCTCAGGGAGCCCAGGTGCAGGAGGTTGCCTGCAAAGAGAGAAGGCTGAGGCACGGGGCCCAGACAGACACGCTTCCTCACCTCGAGGTCCCCTCTCTGCCTGGGGCTCAGGCAGCCCCGTCTCTGAGCAGGAAGAATTCCACGGGGAGGGCACTTGTCAGGGCTGGGGCTGCAAGCGGTGCAGGGCTAAGACCTAGGCCGGCCTGGCTTCCCATCCTGGCTCTGCCCCAGGCCAGGTGTGACCCTCACCCCTCCTCTCCCATCCTGTCTCTTCATCTGTAAGGCTGGAATACGACCTTTCTCTCGATGTGAGGACTGTATGGACTGACATATAGAATGCCTGGCACACAGGGATGTGCATTAGCTAGTATGACATTTTACTAATATGCTAAGATTTTAAAAACAAAGGTAATGTAAGAAATGACCTATTTGAAGAATATCTGAATTTCCGGGCAAGTCACTGTTACTCAAAGTTAACCACTTATTTAACAGCCTGGTGTGAGGACTCCCCTAAAATTTGGCCTTAAGAACCTTTTTCTATGTTAGGCACTGAGGATTATGTACGTCTGCAGTTTTCAAATGCTTCTGTCCACAAACCCTTTCATTTACAGTGAGAACAGTGAAACAGATGATGCAGGCCTTACTCTAATCTAAGCCCAACCCAACCAGGCCCTCCTTTCTCCCAACGTGAGAATTATCCAGGCCACTCATCGCGTTTCCCTTTTCCCCCTGGCTACTGGGAAGCTAGGGCTAAAATTTAACATTCACTTAGACTCACTCAACCAGTCTGTATGTTGGATCCATTTCCCATGTGATTTTCAATTTTACATGTCTAGTTTAACTGTCTATCTGGTTACACGTTTTCTATTGTGAACACTTCTAATTGTTAATAAAGACAGCTCTTCATCTCCAGAAAGGTGAAAAGCAAACCATGTGGGGTTTTCCCGATGCCCGGGACACAATCACATCCCGCCTCTGCTACTCACCCATCAGACACAGCGTATGGCAGCCTTCTAAACACTCGCAGACATCACGGCATCGATCTTGAGCTCTCAAATAGGCGATGAACTTACGAAGCATGTCATGAGATTCTACCACAGGGAGGCGCTGCGAACAATTACGGACTGTCAGAGGGGAAGCTGATGATGAAGTTCCCACGGGAGCATGAACTTGACCCCTGCAGGTCACCCCCCAGGAGCCAAACATGCTACTGATCGCCAAGAAGATGAACAAAGACGAGAACCCCTTTCTTTGGGCTACTAACAACAGTGGCTACTGATGTAGAAGAAAAATCAGGGAAGAGGTGGGAATTAACAGAGAAAATAGTTTACGCTCTAATTTCTAAGGAAGTAAAATACGGAATGGGGGAACTCGGCGCCCACTTACCTCGGGGGCCACTATACTTAGATGAGTCACAAGAGCTGGCACGGACATGATGTGGATGAGGAATGGCCGAAGCAGATTGTCTGAAAACTGGGCAGCAAGCACAGGGCTGGACACAGACAGATCACCACACTCAGAGAGGTCACCAACTCCCCCAAACCCCTTGAAATTATGCTTCCCATGATGGGGACACCCACTAAGGGAAGGCTGGGTCAGTGGCAGGACAGTCATGTGACGCAGCTGTGAAAAATCAGTTTTGAAGTTTTACTGACATGATGTCCTCAAAATCTTTCTTTAGCCTACTCATAATTGTTGTACTTAAGCCCCCAAGTTTGGGAAGGTTCCCATGTGCGCACTGTGTGAAGCAAGTTGAAAAAATAAGGAGTAATGCTTGTGGGCTCTGGATTGTCTGGCCTGAGTTTAATTCTTGGCCCTGCCACTCGCTGCTGTGCGGCCAAGGCCAAGCACCTTACCCTCTGGGCCTTTGCTTCCTCATCTCTAAGCTGGAGTAAGAGAATGGGTTGAGGGGTCAGTTAAAATGTGTAGACGCCTTAGAACAACGTGCGGCCCTTCAGAAGCAAGTCCATTTCCTACTCACCGCAACGCCAGAGAAAAGGCCGCAGTCAGAGTGCCTTTGGACAGACAAGGCCGGGGCCTGGCCAGGCCACGGGTTAAGAGTATCTGAAAAGAACATTTTAACTGGTCAGGGATGATGCCAACTTTGTATTCATTTGTTTATTAAAAAAAGAAGCATAGCCGAAACCGGTTTGGCTCAGTGGATAGAGCATCGGCCTGCGGACTGAAGGGTCCCGGGTTCGATTCTGGTCAAGGGCATGTACATTGGTTGCAGGCACATCCCCAATAGGGGGTGTGCAGGAGACAGCTGATCGATGATTCTCTCTCATCGATGCTTCTAACTCTCTATCCCTCCCTCTTTCTCTCTGTAAAAAATCAATAAAATATATTTTTTAAAAAAAAGAAGCATAAAAGTAAAATGAGTGCCTTGGATAAAAAACTATATTGAAATATTTTTTAAAAATGAGGGGAAAGAAAAGTAATGGGATGGAGGTTCATGAATACCACCCCTTCACCTTTAAATGTTTAATTTTTTAAATAATAAAGTCTAAAAAATTAACAGCTGATACAAAGACCAGACTTCAAACTGCAAGACAGGCTAGATTTCAGGTGCAGTTCTGAGTGATGGTGTCGGGTGGACCCGTTCGCATGGACCTACGGACAGTGTCGCCTGTGTGAGGAGCAAAAGGAGCCACATCAGGACAGAGCCCATGGCTGAATCAGGGCTCCTTCTCAGGAATTCTAAACACCAGTTCGCCTTCTGACCATTCCTGGCTATCCGGGCTGGCACAAAAGGTGCAGTGTGGACAGAAGGCTGTTTGAGGACAGAGCCGGGAAGTTAACTCCGGACACCAACCAAGAAGGAGCCAGAGGGAACAAGCCTGAGGCCTCCTCCGTCTGTTTCAATTTCAAGTGACCGGATTGCACCTGTAGCTGAAGACAGAGCGCCTCGAAGGGATCCTGTGGCTGCCGCCCCCTTTACACAAACCACAGTGACCCAGGCCAGGGAAGGCAGGAGAGGACACGGCATTAAACTCTTCCTGCAAAGGATTTCTGCGAGGCGGGCGCCAGATGTGCCCAAACCAAACATATACACCAAGTCCAGGTGTGAGAGTGAGGTCACCGATTCCAGGAGGAGGTCACACATGAGGGGTGGGCACAGACCTGCAGCACAGAGTACAGTCCATGCTGGTTGAGATGGCCCATTATATTTGCACAAATGTGGTTCATGGCTGGCCGGAGACTCTCACCTAAGGAAAGAAAAACGACTGAGGAAAGAAACCCAACAAATCTCTGGCCGCAAGAGGAACTGTTTAGGTGGGACAGAAATCAGGCCCAAGCTAGAGCCACAGGCAGTGAGATGCTCCCTGGCCTGCCTTCCCGCTCCCCCTGGGTCTGGACCAGAGTCCACAGAGATGCTGCATATCCCCATTCTCTCTCCCGGAAGGCCCGGCTCCAGTGTTCCCTCTCAGGTGATGGGGCCCAGCACGCCCCCAGCCAGCAGTAAGGGCCCAGCCTTGAGCTCCAGAGCTCTTTTCCATTTCCTTCTGAGGGCCTGGAACTTTCTGTGCCCTGTAGCTGCCTCCTATCCAATGAGAGACAAGCTCCTGTCAGGGCCCAGAGCTCACCATTTTTTAAATCCTCCCCAGAATCCAAGATAATGCCTTGAAATAAACCCTCCTTACTGCCTGGGGTCTCTGCATAGTTTCCTTGGCTTTCGGAGTGTGTGTGTCCCCCCCCACCCCCCCCTCCAGTTCTGAGCTCATTTGTCACTTCTGAGTCCCGACAGAGCAGGGCAAGGCTGTCCCTGCCCCACTAAACTCGCATTTCTCTTCCTTCTGAGCGCCACTTCTCACACTATTGTCCAGATGGAGGATATGCATGTGACTTCTCTTTAATGCCCGTCCCCCCACCAGCCTCAGTTCTGTGAGCTGCAGTTCAGCGGGTAGAGCCCTGAGGCCAGTGGCCGCCTCTGTACCTCCAGTGCCTGCATAGCACACGGCACACAGTAGGCTCTTTGCTGAACGGATGGATGAAGTGACTATGAAAAACATAAAGCTAAGCACAATAATCAGGGAAGGAGGCAGCATTACAGGGCACATTTTATGGCCAAATGACTGGCTGCCGAATGATTCACCAAATGAAACGACAAGGCTTAACAAGTGCCTCCTCTGGGGCTGGTGACGGCAAAAGTGCTTCTTACAAAGTAGAGAAGGTGCCGGAGCTCTGCTACTTAGGACAGACTTTGAACGAGCCCCACGGACCTTTTCCCCGGAGAATTTTCCAGGTCGAAGTGTCTGTGAAGGTGACGAGCATCGTGAGGTACAGTGTGACGAGTTTGGAGTCTTGTAGGATTTCAGGCTGGAAACAGTGAAGAGGATGGTTAGGACACACGGCCCCCCAGGCCCAGACAGTGAAGCAACCGTTCTGTAACTTGGCTCTGTGAGTCAGGTTATAATGAAGTATTCTTTTTCCCTGTCTCTTAGGGGATGACTACTGTCAGGAGTTAAACGACAGGGATTTTGACCCATGAGTGATTGCCTATGGAAGCTAAGGACTCCCGGAATGGAGCGCTGAGAATCCTGGGAGACAAGGTGAGCAGCGCTGGCCTGCGGGCTTTGCGTGCATTAGGAGCGTGTGTACGTTCAGGCGTTCCCTGGAGCGACAGCGTGGAAATGCAGCTGAGCATACCAGGGATCCTGGGTTCAGACTTCTGCCTTTACCACTTCCTAGCTCTGTGACCGTGGGCAAGTCTCTTAACTTTTCAGTGCCTCGAACTGCTCATCTGCTGACTAGGGATAGTATGGCTGTTGTAAGGAATAAACGATTCATGTACATGTTGCGCTAAGAGCAGCGCCCAGCACACAGATAGCTCTGCAATACTGGCTGTTGTATATGTGGTTTCACAAGGGGAAAAGGCCTGATTCCTGTCTAGGCTCAGAAACTTAGCATGTGCCCCACAAGGGACCCTGGAGACCATCTAGTTGAAACCCCAGAGAATGAGAGAAGGGAAGTGACTTGCTCAAGGCAACACGAAGAATCAGCAGCAGATTCAGGATTACATTTAGATATTCCTGGCTCCAGCTCTGGTGTTCTTTTCTCCTAATGTGTGTTTCTCTGTGTGAACTTAATTTTTTTTTTTTTTTTTCAAAGCAGAAGTGTCCCTTCTCAAAGAGAAATCTGTTGTGGAAGGCAGGAGCACAAAGCAGGTGACAGGAAGACCGCTGCTGTGCGCCAAAATGCCTCCCTCACCTGCCAGGTGGGTTGTGGCTCACTGCCTGGGCAGGGCCGTGAGAGCCATTCACCGATGCCTCGAGCGGGGTGGCTGGGAACGGATCCCTGGGAACTCTGCTGACATTCACACCCTCGCCCAGCTGCTCCCCACGTCCTCGCCAAGCCTCCGCTCAGAAACTACATCCTACAGGCCCCAGGTGGGAAGGATACATTTACCGAGTTTCATTTTACCTTGAGCCGCTCAAGAAACTCACAGCAATGCCACAGGATGTCCTTGATCTGTTTGATCCATAAGAGGGTGAGATCCTTGGAAAGAGCCAGGGACACATACCACACCTACCAGCAGGACAAAGAGAAATGTTATGGGCAGTTACCGGGGTCAGATTACATATGTTCTAGCTACTGGCCAGGGCCAGATAAGGTGATGAGAACCAATGGACAGATAAGCAGCCAATAAGGGTTATTTTAACCCCACACCCATCCCACTCACCTTGGGTTCGTTCTCAGCATCCATGCTGCTCAGGATGCAGCGACACAATTTCTCAAATCTCTGCAAAGAGGCAGAATGGGGGTCATAAACTTCCGGAACTCATAAAAGTGGGAAAGAAGCAAACGTTTGGTGGGCACCTGCACGGGTAGGCGTTATGCCCAAAGACTCATAGCGAGTCTTACAGATGTGGGAACTGAGGATCAAAAAAGCTAAAGAAAGGCTCTCAAACTGGGGGGGGCCACTGACCCGATGAGCCCTACATTTTCTTCAGAAACTGGTATGTTTCATAAAAAATCCAGTTTGATGCTCCTTTTGAAATACAAACTCAACTGGCACACTGGGCGTGGGCCCCTGTGGACTAGCAGATGTCTCCTATATCCTGCTCTCCCGTCTGCCATTCCGTAAGCATCATAGACACTGCCTTTTGCCGCAGACTGTCGTGTCATCGTTTTTCTATCTTGAAATGCAAAAGAAAGCAAAGTGGAAGCTGAAAACCAGACTACACTGGGGCAATCTCAACCCTGGATCCATCCTCAAAAGTGGTGCGGTCCCGGGCGGCTGCCCCATCAGCCTGAACTACCGCTTCCTCCTCTGTATCCGAGACCCCACTGCCCCTGCCGGTCCTCACCTCTATGACCCCCGTGACGTGTGCGCACTGCCAGCATGCTCCTCCCTCTCAAGACCTTGCCCATCTTATTTCCTCTGGAGCCCCAGTGCCTACCAGATGGCCTGCCACGAGGTGAGACTTAGCAACAATGAATGGTAACCCGGATCACCAGAGGCATTCCTCAATGTATTGTTTGTTAGTACTGTTACAGATAACGGGTTCCTGACATGGTATTTTCTGGGCTGATTCTAATCCCAAAGGTACAACCAGTATGTTTTGTTTGGTCTTCAGGATCTTAAAAAAATTTGAAATTAGCTACCAATGTTTACAAATGAGAAAACTGAGCATAAAAAAGTCCAGCATCTCTTTAAAAAAAAAAAAAAATCAGGGCCCACCACGGGCCGAAGAGGAGGAGAGACTGTGCCCTCTGGCTGGGCATGCCACAGACGCCCTGGCTCCCTCTGAGGTCCTCCCCACCTCTGTGAGTTACATGTATGATGACTTTTATCTCATCAATGGCTTCTTTCACTCTTTCACCTAACCTGCCCGGCCCCTGTGTGCATTTGAATCCAACAAGCGCTCTTAATAGGGAGAAAAGGAGTGGATGTGAGGAGATCCGGAACCACTGGGCGTAACCCCTGCAAATCAGGCCCCAGGAAGACAAAAGGGCAGGATGTGGGAGGGGCAGAGAGCTGCCATAAGGACGGGTGCCCTCGTATTTATAATAAAAGACCCTGCAGACAGAAAGGATGATGTATGTTTGCTGTTGCTCTTTTACCTCGTTATCCTCTTTCATTCTGAACAAGAACAGCAGCTTCCTGGCGATCTTAAAAATACAAAGTGCACTTCTTCTACTGGACCCCGAGTCATCGGCTTTAAAAAACTCATCGATCTCTCTCCTAAGGGAGGGAAGGGTAAAAAAACAAAAACCGTTTTCATTAGGAGCTCCCAGCAGCCGGAAGGCTTTTTCTGAACTGGCGGAGGAAAATGCTTTCTTTTCTTGCTGTTACTCGGGAGCAAGAGGAGTTCTTGGCACCCACCTGATTTCCCTCTGCAGTCGCCTCCGACACAGAAAACTCCGCACGCGGGCCTGGATCCCGACGGCCGCCCGCTCCCGCTCCTTCTGCACAAGCCTCTCCTCTCGAGCCTGACGGGCCTTATCGATGAACCAGGCCCTCGAGGTCTGAGAAACGGTGAACATGTTTGCAAACTTGCACAAACCCTGCAAGGAAAATGGCGAGCCGTCAGTGTAGATCCCCGTTTGAGAAACACACACAGAAAGGGGTTCAAGAGCAAAGGATGGCCGAAGCCGGTTCGGCTCAGTGGTAGAGCGTCGGGTCTGTGGACTGAGGGATCCCGGGTTCGATTCCGGGCATGGGCATGTACATTGGTTGTGGGCACATCCCTGGTAGGGGGTGTGCAAGAGGCAGCTGGTCGATGTTTCTCTCTTATCGACGTCTCTGGCTCTCTATCTCTCTCCCTTCCTCTCTGTAGAGTATCAATAAAATATATTTAAAAAAAAAAAAAAAAAAAGAGCAAAGGCTGAGCAGGGGTGTGGGCAGCAGCAGCAGAGAGCTAGCTACTCAGGGCCCTCCGCCACCTTCCAAAGTGCTAATAGCTCTCCTGGCACAAATCCCAACTCCCATCGGCTCTTTTCAGGCAGCTTGCCAGAGCAGCAGTGCTTCTTCCTGTATGAAATAATTACATTTTCTGGAGAGAAAATGCACAGCGCCTGGCACACAGGGCATGGGTTCTGTAATTGTTTAATGAATGAACAAAGCACGACTCAATCCCATCCGTAAACTTCTAATGCAAGCCACACATCCTCTAAGTCCAGGGTCCCCAGATATTTGAATTCTTTGGAGCAGTCCACAATATTCAGGAAGCCAACACTAAGCAGTCCATTTTTATTTTGCCAAGTCAAGACTTGAAGGAAAAACCAAACGTGAATATTTACGCTGTTATTTTTATTCATCCTTTCATTCAAATGAACAAAGTCTGCCCAACCAATAGCGGGGACAGTAAGGAGACTGGAGAGAAGAAGGGCTTCCGAATCATTCCCTCTTTCGGCCCCAGCAGTGGAAGTCCAGGGAGCTCACCTGAGGACCTGCCTGTGTCACAGAAATGCTGAGTCACCATCAGTGATCTCGCAGGGGACTCCCAGCCACAGGCAGCTTCTCACTTCAGAGGAGCTTGTCCTCGCTGGCAGAAGCAGAAGAAAAAAATCCAGACTTACGGTTAAGTTTTATAGGTAGGGCATCATACACCTCCTCACCGAGTAGAAGTAATACATTCAGTGCCTCTGGTTAAAAAACAACACTGTGTTCTCTTTAGGTAACGTCTGGTCTAAATGTTCAACTTCAGCCGAAACCGGTTTGGCTCAGTGGATAGAGCGTTGGTCTGCGGACTGAAGAGTCCCGGGTTCGATTCCGGTCAAGGGCATGTACATTGGTTGCGGGCACATCCCCGGTAGGGGGTGTGCAGGAGGTAGCTGGTCGATGTTTCTCTCTCATCGATGTTTCTAGCTCTCTATCCCTCTCCCTTCCTCTCTGTAAAAACAATCAATAAAATATATTTTAAAAAAAAGAAAATAAATGTTCAACTTCAGCTCCACAGTCCTCACCATTTAAAGGAAACTGGTTGAAAATACAGTTGGCCCTTGAACAACACGGGTTTGAAACGCATGGTCCACTGATACATGGATTTTTTTCCAATTAATACGGTAAATGTATTTCCTCTTATGATTTTCTTAACATTTTTCCTCTGGCTTACTTCATTGTAGGAATACCGTACGTTATATGTTAACGTATAAAAATGTGTTAATTGATTGTTTACATCATCAGTAAGGTTTCCAGTGACTAGTAGGCCCTTAGTAGTTCAGTTTTGGGGGAGTCAAGTCATACATGGATTTTCAACTGCATGGAGGGGGGGTGTCAGTGCCCCAACCCCTGTGTTGTTCAAAGGTCAACTATATTCCCAAAGAAGTTAGTGAATTAAAACTTTACAAGCATGGTGATATAAGCAAGAATAACACAGGGGACAGAATGTTAAAAAGCCACTGAAAATAATGTTTGACTTTTTTTTAACAACATTGAAAACTATTTTTTTAAATATATATTTTATTGATTTTTTACAGAGAGGAAGGGAGAGAGCTAGAGAGCTAGAAATGTCGATGAGAGAAACATTGACCAGCTGCCTCTTGCACACCCCCTGCTGGGGATGTGCCCGCAACCAAGGTACATGCCCTTGACCGGAATCGAACCCGGGATCTTTCAGTCCACAGACCGACGCTCTATCACTGAGCCAAACCGGTTTAGGCTGAAAACTATTTATGCCTAAGAAATTGTGTGGACCAGTATCATTCCAATTACATGAAAAAGAAAAATGCACACAGAGAAAAAACAGGGGAGAAATAGACCAGAATGTTACATAAGAGTGGTTGTTTTGAGAGCATGGCATTGTGGGAAATTTTGCTTCTTTACTGGGTCTGTTTTCTAGGTTTTTTCTAGGAAAGCGCGTGGCGAAGCAGCATGGTACCGAGAGGCACTCCCTTGCTCGGCCATGTACTGTGGGTGATGTCTCAGGGCCTATCTTCCTCCATGGATTAGCTCAGAGGCCAAGCAATGAGGCCTAAATGAGATGATGTACATCAATACCTACTGAGGTGGCTGACAGAGCAGTCAGTAAGTCTAATGTATTATTACTATTTAACAAAATGTTTAAATTTTCACCCGAGGATATGTTTATTGATTTTTAGAGAGGGAGGAAGGGAGATGGGAGAGAGAGGGAGAACAAGGAAGAGAGAGAAAGGGGGGTAAATGGGAGAGAGAGGACGCGAGAGGGAGAGAGAAACATCATTCGTTGCCTCCCTTATGCGCCCGACCAGGGATCAAACCCCCAACCTGACCCAGAATGAACCTACAACCTTTCGGTGTATAGGATACCCAAACCAACTGAGCCAGCTGGCCAGGGCTAATGTATTATTTTTATAGACACAAAGTTGTTGTTTTTGTTTTGTTTTGTTTTTGTTTTTTAGTCTTTTGTCACCAAGGTTCTTGGGGTGGGACATAATGTTGGGACCCTTACATTCCTCACCCATTAGACAGGACTGGGTACGCTAAGATTCACCATTCTGGTCATGTGGGCAATGAACCCTGGGCCCTGTTCAGATTGGGTAATAGCTTCCAGCTCTTGAGAGCTGCAAAGGAGCTGGGCCCAGAACAGGAGCACAGTGGTTATGTGCTTTCCTTAACATGTAGACAGTCCCTCATACGTGGGGAGGGGAAGAAGGTGCAGGAGAAGAGGGAACCAAATCCTAATGGAAAAATAGGAGGCTGCACACAAACTGTGACTAAGTGCCTGTCAGACTATAGCAAGTCCTTGGTTAACATCGTCTATAGGTTACTGGAAGTGGGGCAGAATGACATATAATGAAAGCAATTTTTCCCACAGGCTAATTGATATAAACAGGAGTTAAGTTCCGATGGCATCTCATCAATGTTATAATGAAACAACATTGAACAAAAAGACGTTATTTGAGGACCTGCTGGATCTCAAACTTGCACTTCTCCCAGGGGCCGCTCAGGATAAGATCCCCTCCTTGAGACCATCCCCTCAGCAATATTACATGTTGGTTTCTGTTTACAACAGGTGATCGCCTATACTTAGCAGTTTTTCTCGTTCTTTCTTATTCACCTACTCCATCTATGTTGTCTACTATAATTCATCAATAAAAACACATTATGAAGCATTTATTAGGGGCTTACGCTGGCAAATGCCACTGAGAATCAAAGAAAAGGCAGTGTGTAACAGAAGCAGCTTTGGATCGGATAAAGTAGTCCTTGGTTCTTTTTAGTTCTGATTCTACCTCATTTGCCAAGTTCCTTACCTTCCTTAGGCCTCAGTTTCCTTATCTATAAATTGGGAGTGATAATAGTAACAGATCTACTTCCTAGGGTTGCCGAAAGGTTTATATAAAGGTTAGACAAAACATTTACCCTTCTGATACCTCAATTTAGTCATCATGACACTGTCATTAGCATTAAACGAGAAAACATTAATAAAAGCATTTGGGAACAAATAGCATATACACGAGTTTACTGTTTTGTCCTTAAGCAGCTTACAATCCCGTTAGGAAAACAACAGCGATATAGGTAAGACGATTAGGAGGCAAGAGGTTGGTAATCATCAAGATCACATGAAAAGCAAAAGGAAAATGTGTTGCTTAAGCACCCATCAGGGCCAAGACCTTCCTAAGTGGTCTCCTCTAATAAAACAGCACCGCTGTGAGATCTGTAGTCCCCCCTATAGCCCAGGTTACACCATCAGTAAGGGCCACAGCCACTGTCTTTTTTTTTTTTTTTAATATATTTTTATTATTGATTTTTTTACAGAAAGGAAGAGAGAGAGAGCTAGAAACGTCGATGAGAGAGAAACACTGACCAGCTGCCTCTTGCACACCCCCTACTGGGGATGTGCCCGCAACCAACGTACATGCCCCTGACCGGAATCGAACCTGGGACCTTTCAGTCCGCAGACCGACGCTCTACCACTGAGCCAAACCGGTTTCGGCACAGCCACTGTCTTAATAAGAAGAGACAAGACTCAGACTCTCCTTTACTTCAGTATTCCCGTGGGACCTGCTCAAAATCGGTCTTCTCCAGATGAGGCCAAGTTCATGGGGAACTACGGAAGAGCACCAGACTCCAAAGAGTATTATTGTTCAAGGGTGAGGCGCCATAAATACCAACTGCTGGCGGAGCCCAGAAGGATTCTGCCTGTGTGGTGGGAGGAGCTGGGCAGCCAGGTCTGATGACCATAACAACCAGGCTGCGGGCTGTTGTCAATCTCACCTTCACGGGGAGCAGATGAAATATAGAGAAGGGGCAGGACTTATCATGGGTCGCTAGGCTCCTGAATTTGAAACTCAGATCCAACTCCAAAGCAATTATTTGTAAATGAAACACATAAGAACCAGAGAGTCCCCGACTCACAGAACAGCAAAGAAAAGCTGAGAATCAAAGGTTGTCCATGAGGCTAAGAGTCCAATTTCGAGCAAGCTTTTCTTTACAGATACCACTAACTCCAGCTGCCTTTTTTTGACAGTTGGGTGTCTGGCACGGCACTGAATCTTCCCTTATACAGTATCCTCTGTGAAACGAGCTCATCAGGCCATTTCACAGCGGAGGAGACTGAGGCCCGGAGAGGTGAACAACTCACCCAAGGTCACACAGCGAGAAAAACAGGATTCGAACTCGGGTTCCAGTGACTCCTAAGACCTGGCGTCTTTCCTTGGCATCAACCACAATAACAACTCTTTTTTCCCATCCAGCGTTAGTCCGTTGACAAAGGCCCCACAAGTGAAAAGAGACAAGCCAGCCGCTAGCACCTGCCCCTCCGACGAGAGAGGCGGGGACCCTACTCTGCCCCAGGGTTAACCTCCCGTCAGGTCCCCGGCGCCGCCACCCAGACCCCACGATCCTGATCCCACTCGCTACTCGCAGGCCGCAGACCTTTACCCGCTCGAGGCCCCCGCGCTCGGGATCGGAGCCGCTGTTACTGTCGCCTCAGCCCAATAATACCCCTGAGCTCTGCCGGACCCGGGGCAGCGATCGAGACTCCACCACCATCTTGCCCCGGGGTGTCTTTTCCCCGAGCTCCGTCGGGAAACAACTACCCAGTTCCGGCCGAACGACAGTTCCGGAGAGCTGCTCCACCCGGGAGCGGCAACCTCCCTGAACCTCTTTCTCCTCTCTGGAGGCTGAAAAGAAAAAAAAATGGAGCATTCGGGAACTGGATCGATGCCTGACCCAGCAGGAAGGGGGTGCAACCTACTCCAGCCAGGCATGTTGGAAGGAATGCGGCCCATGTCTTAGAGGAGTGCAGCGGACCCTTTAAGAAAGCGCCTTCTGCGGGGCGGAAGTGACGCACGGACAGCGGAAGTTCCCGCCCCCAGCCCCGCCTCCGCCCCTGGCTCACGCGAGCTGGGTGTTTCCTGCCTCTCTCAGTCCAGGCTTGGAGACTCCGGCGTCCTCCGACTTTTCATGGTAAGGAGGGCGGTGCCCACCGCCTTGGGACCTCCGAGGGGCCGAGGGGAGCGGGCAGAGCCAGAGGAGAGGAGGAAAGGGCGGGCAGAAGGAGGGGGTCAGGGGGAAAGGGGCTGTCGCGACCGGGAAGTGGCACTCGGGGAGTAGGATGGGGGCGAGGCCGGGCCGGGCGTGCGGGAAGGACATTGGGGGAAATGTGCTGGGGTGAGGGGGCTGGCGAGGCCCCTGGCTTTTGGAGATCCGGGGAAGGGCCTTTGGGCTCGGGGAGTAGATATGTGGGTGGGTGGGTGGGAGGGGGATGTCTCAGAGTCTTGAGCGCTTGTAAGGAGTTGGTGATTGTGAAGAGAACAAAGAGATGTCCTTGAAGACGGACATTTGGAGCGGAGGGTTGGGGTCTGGGGCGTTGTGAAGGGAGAAGGGGTAAGTTCTGAGACGACGAAGTGGGATTGATTCCTTGGGACGGAGAGTTTCGGTTTTGGGGGAGTGGCAATAGGAGTCTCTGGGTTTCGGGGGCAGTGGGCAAGGGCTTCCAAGTGCGTGTGAATACACAGCCCGTCGAATGGAGGAGATAAACAGAGGGAGGCGGGCGGGAGGCTGTGCGTTCCGTGCCAGGAACTCGGCGGAGGGGTGCCAGGGGCCTGCGGTCAGGGGCCTTTCCCCGCAGGGCGTCCAGCGCCCCGTGGCTGGGTCCCTATGCAATCAATTCCGTTGGGACCCCAGGTAGCCACACCTGAGGAGTCGGGGATGTCTCACAGGCAGTCCCCCAGCTGTGGGGAGTGTCTGTGTGCTTGGATTCCTTGGAGAGTCTGCCCTCTGAATAGCAAAGGTCAGCCCAGACCCTCTTTTTGCTTGTTTGCCTGACTCTCTAGAAAGCGCAGTCCTTGGGGAAGATGAATGGATCCCAAGGCCACAGCTGAGGAAAGATGAGTCAACGTGTGTATCTGAGCGCAGTCTGCTCCGTTCCTTGAAAATAAGGGCCACCTGAGGGGAAGAAGGCTCTAAACCAGACGAGCAGCACCAGCTGGAATCTGTTAGAAATGGCCACCTTTTCAAGTCCTACCACAGACTATGGAGTCAGTCTGGGGTGGGGCCCAGCAATCTGATTTAACAAGCCCTCCAGGGAATTAAAGCACTGCTTTCTTTGATTTGGGCATGAGAGTGGGAGTCAGAGGGACCTTCATAGTTCTGATTCTTAATTTTCTCCCCTGAAAGATGGGATCGATGACATGTTCCTCCCTAGACCCTTGAGAGACATAGGCCAGTAGTTTGTGTGCTAGACACCGAAGATGTGATTTGGCAGTAGCTGTCCCGTAGGGTTGGGGTGGAAAATAAGCCACCCTTATGTGGCTGATTGAATTTAGCTTGGTTGAAATGGGACCACAGGCTTTTCTGAGTTGTAGAAATGCCCTCAGTTCAGGGAACGTTGTATAATTAGCATCAATGCGGTGACTCTCAGATCTAGCTGGTTAAAACACGGTAGCTTTGTGGCTCTCAGCTCTGGCCACACATTAGAATCACCTACAGGGCTTTTAAAAACTCTGGTTTCTGAGCTGCCACGCTCCTCCTTTCCCCTCCCCAAATTTGATTACTGGTTCTGGGGTGAAGCCCGGGCTTGAGAAATGTTGAAGCATTCCTAGGCGATTCTAAGTGCAGTCAGGGCTGTGATCTCAGGTCTTGAGGGGCTGATGGAAAAGGACACTAAGAACTTTATTCATTCGGGAGGGGGAAGAGTTACAAAGAGTATGACTTTTAAGTCACTTGTCTAAACATCACATAGGAAGTAATGAGACCAGGTTTACCAAACTCTCCATCAAACCTCCACACACATTTCCCGGTCTACAGAGAGTTTAGGAAAACATGTACAGGTGAGGGTTTGGTGCCCTTTTTTCCCTGTTGTACTTGACTGAGCCTCCTTTGAAGTCAGCCGTTTTCCCCGTTCAGCATGCATGCAATTGCTTCCTGTTTGTGCGCACTCCGAGGCTGTGAAATAGGGGCTTGTTTTTGTTTATGATGCTTTGGTTTACTTTTACGTATGGTCAGCAGTTCACCCCGGCCAGGACGCTTCTCCGTGAAGTTAATTGTGGCCAAATTGAGATATACGGGACTTTTTAGAACAGTGGTTTGCAATCCTGGCTGCACATTGGAATCACCTGGGGGACTTTTAAAACGTCTGGAGCCCAGGCCACGACTCCAGACCAGTTACATCAGGTTTCCCACGGGTAGGATCCCATGGGTATCATTGTAAGGTTCCCAGGGGATCCCGATGGGCAACCAAGTACGGGGCTGCTGTTTGGGATCAGCAACAGTATCCTCGGGGGAGATGGAAAAGAGAGAAGCCTTGACGTAGCCATCTAACTGGCATCAACTCCTCTGCTGATTGAGTGGAATCAGTAACCAATACCACCAGTATCAGTTACCTCTCTGCTTCTTGTAACCAACTTGGCTCTCTCCTGTCCCACCTCCCTAACCTCATCAAAAATGAAATCCAACCTTAGAAGCTAGTTAAAAAAGCAGGATGACTGGGGAGTGCTCTGTGGGAGGTTTGCTATGAGAGGTTTATTATCTCCTGCCTTGTGTCCTCAGCCTCAGGCTTTCTTCCTAGCGCCTCTCCTGTTGAGGTGACTGACTTGAGGAGGAGGAGGAGGAGTGGGCTCGGAGCTTTCTTTGTCTTTTCTGGAGTCTCGATCTAGATCGGGATGGTTTCTGCCTTTTATCTCTTATAATTCAGTCGGATGTCAATAGAGCTGGAACCAGTTTCGGAAGAGAAGATAATTTGAGACTGTGAGAGCGTTCTCAAATAGCCATGGTTTGAGTGTTTGGTGTTTGAGTGCTCGCTCTGAGCCAGGGACGGTGCTGAGTGCTCTGTGCGTCCCTCGCAGCCCTGGGAGGCAGGCGCCGCTGTTGTCCCCATTTGACAGACCAGACTAAACTCAATGACTCACCCAGGCTCCCGCAGCTGGTAAATGCAAGGCTGGCGGCTTAAATTCAGGTCTGCCTTGTAAACCGAAGCCACGGGCACACGTCACCTCCCATCTTTTCAGAGCTAGTTTGTGTTTCTAAAGAAGGGACCCTCCTTTTTCAGTCTATATGTCATAGCTCTCCACGTGCTAAGGATGGCCATTGACAAAACCCTGGGCTCGGGGACAGGCAGGACTTGCCCACGCCCTTCGCTTGCTCCGTCACCAACTCACTTTGGGAGGTGACTGAGCCATGGGTCGTGTTATCCGGATTCACAAAGTGGAAATCGCCACAGCTGCCCTCCCGCATCGCTTGGATTGTGGGTGGCTGTGTGTGCTGGTGGAAATGAAACTGTGGTGTCTTCTGGGAGGGAGGAGCAGGGGCGTTCTGGAGCCACAAATGTTCTCTCTCGATTGGAGGGGGTGGTCCACACAGATGCAGCTATTCACCAAAACTCATCAAATTACACTTAAAATAGGCTTTATTGTATGCAGATTATTTTTACAAGGTACTGGAGAGCAAAAGTACATAAAGTAGACTTTATGTCTTTTTTGTCTGTTTCATAGTAAGCCACCTTACTGAATGCTAAACCGTGTCTCAAAAACCTAGTTATTTTTGTACAAGTTTAGATCTGAAAAGGGTGCTTTAAAAGTATTTTCATTGTGGAACCATTTCCTTACACCTCCCACACCCCCAATTAAAAACCCACAACCGTAAGCCTTCCCCCCTCCACTACCACCGAGTTTTCCACGTTTTTAGAAACTCTTTATTCCCATGAGCCACATCTATCCTCCCATGATAGATATTTCGGGGAGCGGGGGATAGTTGGTGGTAAGTCTGGTCTCTGAGGCCTGACGGCAGAGGAAAGCTAGAAGGAAGGGGTCAGCACCGCCTCAGGCCCCAGACCCCACGTGAGCCAAGCCCCAGCTTTTGAAAGGGGGCCGCCTTGTGACGTTTTTAGTGGGTGAAGTAGAAGCTGTCGCCTGAGGAAACGCTTGTGTTCCCAGAGGCCATTCTTTCTCTCTGCGAGCTCTGACCTGAGCCTCCCGGGGGTGAGCCCAGGCCCTCCTTTTGGAGGGACAGGCTGAGAGGACCGGCCATTGCCTCTGCACTTACCAATTGAAGGCGGGTTACCACCTGTCAGTTCCTTATTTCAATGAAAAATTAACATTTGAGTTTTAAAAAATTATAAGCTCACGAGGGATCTGTGAAAGAAAGGCAGGCCTGACCTGTTTTGCTTAGAGGTTAGAGCTTTGGCCCAGGGACCAAAGAGCCGAGGGTTCGATTCCCGGTGAAGGGCACTTACCTCCGATGCAGCTTCCCCAGCCCAGGTAGGGATGCTTGTGGGAGGCAACCAATGGATGGATGTCTCTCTCTTTCTCTCTCTCTCTCTCTTCGATGTTTCTCTCCCCCTCCCTTCTCCCTTCCACTCTCTTTAGAAATCAATGGGGAAAATATCCTCAGGTGAGGATAAAAAAAAAGATAGAAAGGCATAAAGAATTTAAAACACAATTCTTTTTCAGTATCAGGGCATTTGTAGAAGTTTTGTGCCGGCAGTTCCTTCTGGCAGCAGCCCCAGTAGCACACCTGCAGTTGAAGTTGGGTCCTTGATGCCTGGAGGGAAAACGGGGGCACCCAGAGGATTTGGGGAGCCTTGAAGGGTTTGGGGGAGGATCCAGAGGCGTGGGGCTTTGCTGCGTGTCCGATGCTGTCGGGAAGCAAGCCTGATGCTGTGATTGGGCCCCTGTCTTGCTATTTTGAAGGCGGGAAGAAGGCAATCGGGCTGAAACTCTAGTTGGTAGAAAGGCAGCAGGATATTAGCCGGGATAAGGGGTCGTTTGATCGTTTTTGTGTTTTGGAATATGGTCTTGTCTCTGTGTTCAGGCAGTCATGACGAAGTGATCTTATGTATGTCCTCCATCCTGCCGTGGCCTTGTCCGAGGCAGTGTGCTGAGGAATGGCTCATGTTCGTAGGGAACACCAAGGCCCACAAGTGATGTCAGGCTGGGTCCTGGCTGTCAGGAGCCACTTCCTCGGCGCCATTCCCCATACTTAGTAAATATTCAGGCATCTTCTCCGGCTATAGAATTCTCCCTATTAATGCAAGGAATGTTTTCTTTGAGTACGCATGTGCCAGGTACCAGTCTCCTTTCCTGCGCCCACTGAAATCTGGACTCCGCCTTCATTTCTCTATCAGTACAGAGAGCTGGCAGTGTTGTTACAGAGTGTTATCAGATCGCGCTGTTTGGGGCAGTGCTAGTACAGGAAGTCTCTAATAATTTTGCAATAACTTGCTTCCAAGAGTTTTTATGTCTGTTTAGTCCTCAAAAACACTTTTTTTTTTTTTTCTCTATATGAAGTATTAGGAGTGGTAGTTGGGATCCTACTCACCTTCATAAAAGCTCGTTTCATCTGTAATTCAGCTGAGAGGTGGCACCGGAGGCTGGCTGGTGTGCCTGGCAACAAGGAGAGAGACGTGGGTGAAAGGAAGTCCTCATAACACAAGAGTTAGTGGCAAAGTTGTCCCTACCGGTCAGCTAGTGAGGCCGGTGTATGAGGCAATCTGGGTGGAGTGTGGGGGCAGATTGGGGAGTACCTGCCCCTTGCCAGGGGGAAGCCAGTACCCCAACTCCCACCAGCTGTGGCCTTGCTGGCCAATTGGCCTCTAATGTTAAAAGAAGCCAGAAATCCAGATTTTTCTGTGAACTCCTGAGCTGTCCGCATTGAGAGTCAAGTTTTTTTATTTTATTTTATTTTTTTAAATTATGTATAGTCGTGTCAAGTTCTTTCTTTTTTTTAATATATTTTATTGATTTTGTATAGAGAGGAAGGGAGAGAGATAGAGAGTTAGAAACATCGATAAGAAAGAGTCATCGATCAGCTGCCTCTTGCATACACCCCCTCCCGCCCCCGGGATATGCCCGCAACCAAGGTACATGCCCTTGACCGGAATCGAACCCGGGACCCTTCAGTCCCCAAGCCGACGCTCTATCCATTGAACCAAACCGGTCTCAGCTCAAGTTTGTTTTAAATGCAGAGTTTACCCTGACTGAGCAGAACACATCTGGAGGCCAGTGGCTTTCAGAGGTAGACCAGACCTGGTGCTGTGACCCTGGTGACCTTTGTGCCTTCTCCCCGCAGGAAGAGATGTCAGGAGAAAGTGTGGTGAGCTCAGCGGTGCCAGCGGCTGCTACCCGCACCACTTCCTTCAAGGGCACGAGCCCCAGCTCCAAGTATGTGAAGCTGAACGTGGGCGGGGCGCTCTACTACACCACCATGCAGACGCTGACCAAGCAGGACACCATGCTGAAGGCCATGTTCAGCGGGCGGATGGAGGTGCTCACCGACAGCGAAGGTAAGCCGCCCGCAAGGCGCTGGGGCCGCGCGCGTGTGGTTGAGGGCTGCGTTCTAGCTCTGCAGGCCACCAGGAAATGTCGCACGGCTGCAGATCGCACGGTGCGCTCAGTGTTTTCCTGGTGTGCAGGGACCCCTGAGGGGGAATAACAGAGACTGAACGGCGGGGGTGGGGGGGGGTGGGGGGGTGTCAAGGAGGGCTTTCCGGAGGAAGTGGCGTTTCAGCTGAGACCTCGAGATGAGTAGGAGTCAGCTGGACAGGGACTCACCGTCTCGATTTGTTGATTTGCTGCATGAGGTTGTCGATTTGCTGCCTGAGATTGTGATTTGCTGCGTGACTTTGAGAAACTCCCAGTCCTGCTCCAGGCCTCAGCTCTGTTGTATGGATTCTGGACTAGCTGCCCTGGTTGGTTCCCTTCCTGTTCTCGCAGCGATGGGTCTCTGATTTCAGGGAGAAGCTCCGGTGTGAGTCATGAGCATTTCCTCTGGGCGCTTGTCTTCGTAGGATGGGGTCGTGGCAAAGTTCGAGGGAAGCCTGGAAAAGCGGAGCTGAGACACGGCTCCCCACTTAGTCACTGGTGATCCTGAGCAAGGTGGTTCGGAATGAATCACAGCTCACCGTTTAGAAGCTGGTGATCCTGATCAAGGACTCATTTCCCTCAGCTGGTGAAATGGGCACCGTGATCCCCGCCTCGTGGGGCTTTTAGCTCATGGTAAATATTCAACATAGTATGTTCGTTCAGTCCTTTTTCTTTCTTGTGGAAAATCATGTTAGTAAAAGGCAAAGAACTGTTTAAAGTCATCTTACCATAACTACCTCCTGCCTACCTGGAAGGTCAAAGAGCAGCTGACAAAGGGGGTCGCCCTTACCTGGCTGGGTGTAGGGAGCAGGCCCCATGTGGTTTAAAATGGCCCCATCCTACATTCCTTGGCCTGAGATTGCTTGAGACTGGCCAGACCACAGCCTGGCTTGGCCAGCTCACCTGTGTCTGAGGCCGCCTCTGTGCCGATGCCCCTGCCTTCCCAGGGGCAGTGGTTCCCGAGAGGGCGGGTGAGTTGTGACTCGGTAGGTGGGATGGGGGTCCGTGGCTGGGTGTGCACGGTGCGTTCTGTGATCCTGAGAGGGCTGAGGGCGGGCTGTCGCTGGTTAGGGTGTTGCCCTCTGTGCCCTGGAGAAGGCGAGGCTGCAGGCTTCCCGTGAACTTGGCTTTCCAGAACGGCCCTTGTCTTACTCCAAATAAAAGCGAGCTTTGTATGAGGGGGAGGATCCCCTCGCCGTCCACACCCGCCGGTGCCCAGAGTATTTGTGGAAATCGGGACAATGGCACCCGGCCGCAGGAGGAAATAGACCTTATCGGAGAGCCCGGGATTGTTGTGGCTTTTCTTCCGCCCTACCCAGTCTCCCCCACCCAGTCTCCCCCACCCAGTCTCCCCTACCAGTCTCTCCCCTACCCAGTCTCCCCCACCCAGTCTCCCCCACCCAGTCTCCCCCACCCAGTCTCCCGGGGGGCTCAGGAAAGCCCCAGGCGCTTACGCTTGTCCCAAAAGAGAGTCCTCAAGCTCACCTGTCCCGGAACTGGGAGATGCCTGGGGATGGTACCAGGGGACCTGCCTCTGCTTCTAATGAGCTGCTACCCGATGTCCTTCCCCTCGCTTCCGGGACGCCCAGCATCTCCCGGAAACATTGCTGCCTCTGACACTCCAACCTCAGCTGTTTGCATTTCCCTAACCTCCAGCAGCCTTCAGACCCTCATGAAAAGTGGCATTTTATGGGTGTTGTTTCATTTATGCCTCACCTTACCCCTTCAAGGGGTGGGTGCTGTACTGTTGTACAGTTTGAAAAGTGAGAGCTCCGCATCTCATGGGAAATGCTTTCTCAAAAGCTACTGAACCATCTAGTCCAGGGCTTGTCTGTTGGGAGCTTTTTAATTACTGATTGAATCTCATTGGTTGTAATTGGTCTACTCAGATTTTCTCAGACTCAGTCTTGGAAGAGTATATGTTTCTAGGAATTTATCCATTTCTTCCTGATTATCCAATTTGTTGGAATATAGCTCATGATATTTTCTTATAATTCTTTGTATTTCTGTGATGTCAGTTGTTACTTCTCTTTCATTTCTGATTTTATGTGGGTCCTCTGTCTGTTTTTCTTGATGAGTCTGATTAAAGATTTATTAACCTTATTTATGTTTTCAAAGAACCAGGTCTTGGTTTCATTGATCTTTTGTATTGTTTCTAGACTCCATTTGGTTGTTTCCCCCTCTGATCTTATCTCCTTCCTTCCACTCACTGTGGCTTGGTTTGTTGTTCTTTTTCTAGTTCCTTTAAGTATAAGGCAAGATTGTTTTTTTGAGATTTTTCTTATTTCTTGAGGTAGGTCTGTATTGCTATGAATTTCTTTTTTTAGGACTGCTTTTGCTGTGTTTCACAGCTTTTGGGTTGTTGTGTTTTCATTTTCATTTGTCTCAAGCTACCTTTTGGTTCCTTCCTTGATATCGTTGTTAACCCATTCCTTGTTTAGTAACATGTTATTTAGCCTCCATATATTTGTGTGTTTTCAGTTCTTTTCTTGAACTCGGTTTTCTATTTTTATACCATTATGGTCGGAGAAAATGCTTGCTAGGATTTCAGTCTTAAATTTACTGTGATTTGTTTTGTGGCCTAACATATGGTCTCTAGAAAATGTTCCATGCGCACTTGAAAAGAATGTATATTCTGCAGCTTTAGAGTAAAATGCTCTGGAAATATCAATTAAATCGGTGAGGTCTAATGTGTCATTTAAGGCCTCTGTTTCCTTGCTGATTTTCTGTCTGTAAAGTCTATCCATTGGTGTCATTGGGGTGTTAAAGTGCCCCACTATGACTGTGCTACTATTGATTTCTCCCATTGTGTCCATCAATATTTACTTTATATATTTAGGTGTACCTGCATTGGGTGTGCTAATGTTTACAAGGGCCATATCCTTTTGTTGGATTGATGCTGTTTATGCAATGTGCTTCTTTGTCTCTTACTATAGCCTTTGTTTTAAAGCTGCTATTTTGTCTAAGAATTGCTGTCCCAGCTTTCTTTCTTTGTTTCCATTGGAATGAAATGTCTTTTCCATCCCTGTACTTTCAGAGTGTGTGTATCTTTTGATCTGAAGTGGGTGTCTTCTACATAGCGGGTCTTGTTTTTGTAACCATTTAGCTACCCTGGGTCTTGTTTTTGTAACCATTTAGCTACCCTGTCTTTTGATTAGAGCATTTAATCTATTTACATTTAAGGTGATTATTTATTTATTTATTTATTTATTTACATTTAAGGTGATTATTGATAGGTACATATTTCTTGCCATTTTATGATGTATATATTTATGTTCCTATTTATTTATTTTTCTTAAATCTCTTTTAACATTTCCTGTAAGTTTGGTTAGGCGGTGATGAACTCCTTCAGATTTTTTCTCCTTTTTCTCCTTTTCTCCTTTAATAAAATGCTAATATGCAAATTGCCCCCTGGACCAGGAGTTCGACTGGGAGTTCAACCGGCAGTTTGACCAGGAGATGGGGCCCGGCCGGCCAACTGCCTGCAGCCGGCCCAGCCCTATTGATCCCAATTGGGGCGGGCCAGCTGAACCCCACCTGTGCATGAATTCGTGCACTGGGCGCTAGCTTTAAATAATAGCCTTGCTGGGTAGAGTAGTCTTGATTGTAGGTCCTTGCTTTTCATTAATTTGAATATTTCGTGTCAGTCCCTTCTGTCCTTCTTCAACTCACATTCTGCTGATGGTTATTTAGATTGTTTCTAGTGCCCACTGTTAGGAACATTATCATTCTGAACACTCCCTGGCATGTGTGAGTTTCTCTAGGCCAGTGCTTCCCAGCTTTTCCACATCATGGCACACCCAGAAAATCTTATTTTACTTTGGTAAATGAGGGGGCTCTGACCCCTCCAGGCCCTACCAGCTGCCTCTGAGGCTGCAGCATTAAGGTCTGAAACTGGGTTGGGAGCTCTGTCCTAGAGTTCATTCTCAGGGGTGCCACTGGGCTGTAGCAGCATCTTCAGCTCCATTTGATGTTAACAGTTGTGTCAGTTTACACTCCCCACAGAGGTCTGAATGTTCGCCGGCACTGGGTATTGTCAAACTTTTAATTATTTCTAATTTGGTGACTATGATATGGTACTCTGTTGTTTTATTAATAGTTAACCTTCCCTAATTTCTAGTGGGTTAAGCATCTTTTTATGTTTGTGTTTCTTCGAATGGCTGCCTGATTGCATCTTACACATTTTCCCATTTTCCTTTTTGCTATGTAGAAAGAAGAATGCATTCTGGATTTTATTCCTTTATGGCTTTATTTTATGTAAATATAAACAACATAAATCTGAGTTTTATAGGTTTTTAAATGGTGTGTTTTGGTGCCTCCATTTTTGTGTGTGTTTTTTTTGTTTTGTTTTGTTTTTTCCATTTTGCTTACCTATCTACCTCATGGTATTCAACCAGGAATGATTTGGATCCCTCAGGGACATTTGTCCAGAGATATTTCTGGTTGTGACAATTTGGGGGTGAGAGTGCTACTGGCATCTAGTGGATAGGGCCCAGGGATGTTGGGGAGGACCCTGTAATATGCAGGACAGTCCCTCCATAACAGTTATCCAATCCCAAATGTCAGTAGTGCTGAGGCTTAGAAATCCTGCCCCAGAGATTCTGATTCAGAACGAGGCAGCTTCCTAGAATCTGAATTTGTAACAAGTCCTTCAGGTGACTTATGATCAGGCAAGTTAGGTCCCAGAAAGCTCCCTGTAGGAAGTGGGGGAGGAAAAGGAGAGGAAGCACATGGGATGCTGGGGGGATGGGAGAAGAGGGTCTGCCTCCCAGGTACCTAAAAGGCACACAGACTCCCTCCTGGGGGTGGACCGTGCTGCCTGTGGATGCTTCTTCGTTCTCAGGCAGTGGTGATGAAATGCACAGTGTTCATTGTCAGGGACCTAACCTGAGTGCTGCCAGTAGACTCAGCTCTGTGCTGTGTGTTCCCCGTACGTTCCCACGTCGTACCTTTATGCCAGCCGTGGGAGGCACCATTTGTAGGAGAGGAAACTGCTGGGCAGAGAGGTCGAGTGGAACACTAACGTCACCCAGCAAGCACGCAGACCTGGGTTTCCAGCACGGGCCCACGCTCTAACCCCTGTGCTGTGTTGCGTGTCACATGTCCCAGAGCCTCTCCCCGTCCACCTCTCCAGCCTTGTCCAAGGGCCCGCCGGGCCCGGGCTCCCTGTGCAGGCTTTCCCCCACGGCCCTGTGCCCTGTGGCCGCAGGAAAGACGCCCTGCGAGCCTGACGTTTGCTTTTCTAGGCGCGAGGCTGTTTCAAAGGGACAGGGCCTAAAATACTTCAAATTCAGAATGCTAATTGAAACCTCATGGGGAATGTGCCTGGCTCCTTTGCCCTTATTTGTCCAAAGTATGATTCCTTCCCCACAAGCATTTCCTGGCTGCATTCTTGAGCTGGAGCCCAGTGTGACGGGCCGCCTGCTCGTTTATGGAAACTGCGACAGCCCACGTAATTGAAATCACTTGATTGATCTTAAGGGCCCTCGCGCTTTCCAGGCGGCTGAGATGTCCGTGTGTCCAAGACTGAATGGGACGTTTTCTTCCCAGAGCAGCTGGGCTGAGAGGGTGGCCATTTCTCTCAAAGACTGAGGTTCTACTTGTCTCACCCTCATGGCCCTCTCGGTTCCCCTGAAAGTAATTTTCCTAAGCTGCTGCTGCTTGGTTGTCTATTTCTGTCTCCCCAATTTGGGGGTGTCACTGAACCCCTGGGCCTCTGGGTTCATCTGGGAAATTCAGGGGAAGATAACGCTGTCTCTCCTACCTTGTCAGCTTGTTGGAAGGAAAACACTAGCTCCAGGGTAGCAGAGAGGAGCCCCACAGTGCATTCGGGGGCCCCACAGTGCATTCATGACAGGCTTTTAACAAACCAATCTTTAAAGTCAGATTTCACAAAAATCTGCATTTTGGACTTTGCCTTAAACATCGGAGGCTCACGCAGCCCTGGACCCACCTTTCTGCCTGGCCACTCTGAGCTGGAGCTGGAGAGGCCCCGCCCTCCCCCCACCTTCCCCAACACCCCACGGGGCAGCGCACTGCTCTCTGGTCGGCCAGCAGCGCAGCTCACCTGCACCCATTTGTCCTGCCTGCCCCAGCCCCGCTCAGGCACCCGAGCTACGTAACAGATACTAAGTGTAAACTTGGTGTCTCCACTGTAGAATGGGGTCATGTCCAGCAGACAGTCAAGGTCACGGATATCCCGCTCTTCCTGGAAGCCAGCGTTGGACTCCAGCTGCACATTTGCCTTGTGTCTGCCATGTTCTTCCCACTTAGGAAGGAAACCATGGCTGTTGGAAATACCAGTGGAAGGTTCTAGAGAGATGAGATGAGACCAAAGGCCCAGGAAGTGAGGGCTGAGGAATTGCAGGAGGAGAGCGCAGAGATGGCTTTCTTACCCACTCACTGTCCTGGTGATTGTTGGGAAATTCCCTCCTGGGCTGCAGAAACCAGGGGAGGGCTTTTGGCAGGGCTGGGTTTGGGGGACGCAGGGGCGGGGAGGTAAGCAGATATGTGACTGGATATGAAAAAGGTGCATTGCTGCTCTTGGCTTTTGTTGGCCTCTGCCACTGATTCAGGGCCTGGGGGTCTGAGGAGGACGTGGGGCGGGGCACGGCAGTGTTAGGAGTGGAAATGTGGGCCCCTTCTCCTGAACTGTGAGCATAAGTTTACTGGTTTCTGTTAGACCTTCCAGCTGCCTCATGCTTTGGTGTTTCTCACCTGTAACCTGGGACCGGAGACCAGGGAAGACCTTGCCTGAGCTGCCCTGCTGTTGGGAAGGCCAGACTGTCTGGCTTCTTTCTAGTGTCTCACATTTTCTACCAGACACACATGGTCTCTGTTCAGTCCTGTTTCCTCCTCCAAATTCCACTCCCAAGGATATTTGCATTTCAGCAGAGTAATTTAGCAAACCCATCCCATCTCTAGGGGAGGAATAGCAGGCCAGTGCTGAGGCTGCAGAGGGCACTGAGGAGTGGAAGGGCTTGTCTCTCTGGCCCAACCCAGGGGTGGGGAACGTCCGGCCTGCGGGCCATGTAAGACCATTTGGTCTGTCCCTGCCAAGGCATTAGGGGTGAGTTAATTCAATGTTTGACCAAATATAGCAGCCTAATTTTTAAGTTGATTATTTTGTATGGCCCGCAAACGATGCTATAAATATCCAAATGGCCCTTGGCAGAATCAGGTTCCCTATCCCCACCTTACCACTAAGAATTTTTCACTGTCCTGGATCTGGGCAGCAGGGATTGTTCCATATTTGATATGGAAAACTATCTCATCGAAAAAGGCCGGTAAAAAGAGGGAGTAGAGCCTGCCCAGTGTGGCTCAACAGTTGAGTGTCCACCCAGGAACCAAGAAGTCCGCAGGTTCCATTCCTAGTCAGGGCACTTGCCTGGCTTGTGGGCTCGATTCCCCAGTAGGGGGCGTGCAGGAGGCAGCCAATCAATGATGTTCCTCTCTCATTGGTTTTCCTTTTTTTCCCTTTCTCTCTCTCTAAAAAAAAAAAACCCAACAGCCGGGACTGGTTTGGCTCAGTGGATAGAGCGTCGGCCTGCGGACTGAAAGGTCCCGGGTTCGATTCCGGGCAAGGGCATGTACCTTGGTTGCGGGCACATCCCCAGTGGGGGATGTGCAGGAGGCAGCTGATTGATGATTCTCTCTCATCGATGTTTCTAACTCTCTATCTCTCTCTCTTCCTCTCTGTGAAAAATCAATAAAATATATAAAAAAAAAAACCACACAAAAAAACCCAACAAAACATATGTGTTTTTTGTTTGTTGCTGTTTTTAAAGAGGAGTAGATATTTTTACTCTAGGGGCCTTTCCTGTTGTTGGGGTCATGTGGACACATTTTTATCCAAGTGTGGCATCTAGGCCCCTCTGGGGATGTTCTTGTGTAAGGGCTTTTAAGGGAATTTAAAGAAACATGCTTTTAGGCCTCAGGGACCCTGGTATCTAAGAGCCTGAGACCAGACGAGTCCCATGTGGTCGTTCCCTGCCAGCAGGGTCTGGAGGCTGTGACTGTGCTCTGGCCAGGGCCTGGTCAGCCTCTTGCTGGTGACTCTCTCTGTGGTCCTGCTCTCCTGGGAGGCAGGAGGAGCAGGAGACACCCCCATTCTCCTCAGGCCCTCCCCAGAGAGGAGTGCCCGTGCAATGAGCCCTTCCCTTCCTCCTCCTCTCGCTGCAGGCTGGATCCTCATTGACCGCTGTGGGAAGCACTTTGGTACGATACTCAACTACCTTCGCGACGGGGCTGTGCCCTTGCCGGAGAGCCACCGGGAGATCGAGGAGCTGCTGGCAGAAGCCAAGTACTACCTGGTCCAGGGCCTGGTGGAAGAGTGCCAGGCAGCCCTGCAAGTAGGCATCACCCTTCCTTCCCATCAGGGGGCGGGGCCCAGACCCACTGGCCTTGCTCTGCAAAACAGGGTACTTCCTGCCTCCCTGCCCACTGTGCGAGTTAGTGAGTCAGCCTGGAGCCTCTCCCCTTGGGTCAGAGCGACCCACGGGCTTCTCTGTGCTGTTAGGCCACCTGACTACTTCCTGGCTCGTTTCCGTCTCCGTGGTGTAGCGTCCTCTCACCTGTTGGCAGGTGCAGACACAGCCGTGGAGACCTGCCCTTTGGGTTTCTTTCTGTGGTTTCCATTGGTCTGAGGTTAAACTTCCAAGCTGACCTTGGCCCAGTTTCTATTACGCTTATCTTCCTGTTCCACTTTCTCAGGGGTTTGGTTTTAGTTTTTCAGTTTCATCGTTTCAACCCTTTCATTGAATGTTTCCAGCTGTCACATTGCTAACTTCCAAAGAGCCTTTTCTTGTTCTCCGATGCTCTTTTCATGTAGCAGGCTGATCTTGTTTCATAGGATGGAAAATCTGCTCTCGTCTGTCTGATGATGCTGGTATTGGAGGTTTTCTTTCTGCCGCCTTCATCATCTGACTCCTTCCCTTCCCTTTTCTCTCTTTGTTTGGTCTCATGTTTGAGAGGCTTTGCCCTTACAATCTGATGATCCTTGGCCTGTTGAAATTTAAGAGGAAGGCTCTGAAAAGCAAGCGATACGACTGTGGGTGGTCCCTGTTGTCCTGTAGGCTTCAGTGGTGAAGGATGGGCTGGCTTTCCCAGCGGGAACCCCGTGTCAGATCTGCCAGCCTCTTCTTGGGCAGATCAGCTCCTGGTGGAGGAATCCTCTTCTCTTGCCAAGAGGAGGGAATAAGCCCGATGGGCTGCCGTCTGGGATCTGAGGAAGTGAAGGAGCTGGTGGGGTGGGGTGGCTTACCATTTAGTGTGTAAACCATTCACTTAGTCCCTCTGTTCCAGAATAGCAGCTCAGTCCTGTACACACAACTCCAGGAACATGGACCTTCTTTGGGGCTCTGCCACCTGACGGGCAAGCCTCCCCTGTGCCCTGTGCCCCCACCATCAGAGCTGTTCTTGAAAATCTCCAGGATCCTGCCCCATCTGCTGACTTAGGTTCCAGCTTCCTCTCTGCTTATCACGCATCCGTAATCTCTTCTTCAGCCTCAGATTGTTTATGTCTTTTGCCTGCTGACTTCACTTCTCTCAATCTTTTTTTCTTACGGGCTTTACTTCTCTTTATTCTTCTGAGGCATTGCCGTGGGGTTTGGGGAGCTTTGATGCAGTCATGTTTCAGCTTCCATGTTCAGGACTTATGTTTGCGTGGCTCCCTGGGCTGTTCGTTCTTATTGTTTACTGAGCGCCTGGCGTATAACAGCAGCCAAATAGCCGGCGTATTGGAGAACTCGACTCCTGGCCGTGCCCCCATCCTAACTCACTGGTAGTAAGAACCTCCTCTCTTCCCGCCGTGACTGCCCGTCTGCCCTCGCCAGAGCTCGCCTTTGCCCGCGGGCCAGCTTCCCCAGGCCCGTGCAGAGCAGGCCCCCTCGGCTGAAAGCACGTTTTGTTCCAGCAGAACAAAGATGCTTACGAGCCTTTCTGCAAAGTTCCTGTTATCACCTCATCCAAAGAAGAACAGAAACTTATAGCGACTTCAAATAAGGTATGTTGGAGGCGCCCCATGGCATTCTCCTTGCTATCAGAGATGAGAGAGGTTCCGAACACGTTTTGAGATGAGAACTTGTGCCACTGCCTGAGGAAGACCCGAGAAGGGGTTCAGAATGGGAACCTGTGGCTCATCCTGTGTTCCCTGCTATTGGGGCACACAGTCTCCTTCTCGAACCCGGCCTGGCCCGGCCAGCAGGCTGTGCTGTCTGCCTCTTCGGCCTGGTGGCAGGGCCAGCCCTACGGGAAGCCAGAGGTTTATGGCGTCTGCACTCCAAGTAACCCTCTTCTTCCTTTTTTAAATCAACCCACAGCCAGCCGTGAAGTTACTCTACAACAGAAGTAACAACAAATACTCATATACCAGGTAAGGTGCCAGCCAGAAAGGCGTCTGTATTTCGGTGCCCACTGGGAAAGCCTCCGCTCACACCTGCGGGCCCAGCTCCGCTTGTTCCCTTTGGATGAGGAAGCCAGATGGGGAGATGGCAAGAAAGGGGGATGCTGGAGAGGAGATAAAATTCACGTGTACCATAAATACACCCTCTTAAAGTATGTAATTCAGTAGTTCAGTGTATTTACAGGTTGTGCAGCCCTCAACTAACTTTTGAACGTTTCATCACCTCCAAAAGCAACCTGGTAGCCATTAGCCATCACTCAGTTCCCCACCAGCAACATCTCCAGGCTTCTAGAATGCCTGGTGGCTTTTGGGAACTTGTGACTCTAAATCAGGAACCTGAGGGACCTGATGCAGTCACTCAAGACCCATAATCTGACCAGGATAGAGCGTTGCCCTGGCAGTTCCATCCTGCCACCGCTGTGCCTGCTGAGCTGTCCTCCATGTCCCACCCGGTGCCAGTACCCGCAGGCCCGTGCTCTCAGCTCCACCTCTGGCGGTGGCACACACAGCATAGCCGCCTCCAGCACACTGGCTAGGAGCTCAGGCTGAGCGGCTAGAGCTACCTTTTTTGAGGCCTTGGCTCTGCTATTCATTCGTTTTTTACCTCAAGTAATCCCCTCATTTCTCAGGCCCTCTCTTTCCTTCTCTGAGCAGTGGGGACTGTGGTGTTTTTCTTATGGGTCATTGTGAGGCTGAAATGGGGTAGCGGGGACTATGGGCCTCGCGTGGGGACACTCTGCCAGCAGTGGCGGCGGTTATCCCCAGCTGGCGGTCTCCTTACCCAATGCCCTTTTGCAGCAATTCTGACGACAATATGTTGAAGAACATTGAACTCTTCGATAAGCTCTCTCTGCGCTTCAACGGAAGGGTCCTGTTCATAAAGGACGTCATCGGGGACGAAATCTGCTGCTGGTCCTTCTATGGGCAGGGCCGGAAGATCGCCGAGGTCTGCTGTACCTCCATCGTCTACGCCACCGAGAAGAAGCAGACCAAGGTGAGGGCGTGGCGCAGACGGTTCTGGGTGGCCAGCCTGGCGTGTGTACTTGCGCAGCTTTCATGGTCCTTCGGGCCCAGCTGAGGCACAGATGCGGGTCTTAGAGAATCCAAATGGCGCTCCTCTTGTGCCACCGGCGTGCAGAGGCAGCCTCGCTGCATCTGAGGTCCTTTGCCCCAAGTGTTGGCTCAGGTATATCCCGCTACCCGTGTGCATGCAGCCCGCTGCACTGATCTGACGCTGCCCGTGCTCTTCCTGGTCCTCCCTCAACACGCTTCCCACCAGCACAGCCCTGCCTCACTGATCTGACGCTGCCCATGCTCTTCCTGGTCCTCCCTCAACACGCTTCCCACCAGCACAGCCCCATCCCATCCTGGTCATCAGAGGAACAGGGCTGCCTTCAAGATCTTGACCTTGACTTTCTGTCTGTTCTCTGCCATCAGTCTGTTGTCCTCTGACCCGCTCACCTACAGCAGCCCTCCACTCTCCCGGGGCCCGCTCAGCATCCTTAGCTCCTACCCTGTTGATTTCCTTCCGAGCACATGACCCCCTCACTGATTTGGACTCTGAGGATCTGTTTTTATATCCGCTCCAAACCAGTATACGTATCCTCTCCCTTCTGTCTCTGCGCTGTTCTGCAAGCTAATGCCTGCTGCAGGAGCCGTCACAGCCTGTGCCCTGTTAGATCTTCTGTTCCCTCGCTCTCCTCGGGCTTACATGGAATCCCGGGGGCTGATTAGCCAGAAAGTACTGGGTGGCGGTGGTAGGCCGTGTGTGGTGCCCGCTCACCTGCCCTGTGTTTCGTGGGGGCGCAGGTGGAGTTCCCGGAGGCCCGGATTTATGAGGAGACGCTGAATATTTTGCTGTATGAGGCCCAGGACGGCCGTGGACCTGACAATGCGCTCCTGGAGGCCACAGGCGGGGCGGCGGGGCGCTCCCACCACCTGGACGAAGACGAGGAGCGGGAGCGGGAGCGGATCGAGCGCGTGCGGCGGATCCACATCAAGCGGCCGGACGACCGCGCCCACCTCCACCAGTGAGCAGGCAAGGGACCGAGCCCCTCCCCCGCTCCACACCGACCCCTGCGGCTCCCGGCACCTCCATCCCCCCGGAGTCTGGGGAGACTTTTGTAACAAGCCAGATTATTTTGATATTTCTCGACAAGGTGGATTGATTTGTACCAGGTGAATGCTCCCGTGTGGTTGACAAGCTGTGTCCAAGGGCTCTGCTTCTGAGAACCTGGAAGGGTCTGGGTTCTCAGAGGAAAAGCACGGATGTGTGTGAGGCATACGTGAGGACTGTCGTTTGCAGTATTTATTTTTGTGGATGTTGACTGCCTGTTGGAGCTTCTTGGATGGCGGGTGTTGTCTTTTGGGGTTCAGTGTGACAGCTCTGAGGGGTCCTGCAGCTGGTGGCCACCCGGGGTGTCTTCAGGCTCCATCCTTCCTCCTCCTTCTGCCCGCCACACTCCGCCAAGCACGCCTTCCAGACGTGCCTTCGCAGCAGGACTTCTCGCCCAGAGCGTGTTGGTAAATAACGGCGGCGTGTGGCAGTGGAGGCGGGGCCTGGTGTGCTTGGTGTAGCTCTGGATGCCTGATCTGGTTAGGGGGCAAGCCTCTTGCCACCTTGGCTGGTCTGGTGCCTGTCGGGCCCACACCTCTGGCTCGGGCAGTGCTGCGCTGGTGGTGAGTGCTCGTCCTGTTCCTGCCCCGCTGGTTTCCGGGAAGGCCATCTGGCCTGGTTGTGGGCACAGCTCACAGACCGAGGGACCCATTCCTTCCCCCCCTTAACCTGGGCTTGCTGCCGCAGTAGGTGCCCTGCCCTTGGCTTAGAAGCTCAGTGTGGCCCCAGCCTGGCATCCACGCGGGACCACCACCACTCACCAGCAGCCTCGGGCAGCCTGCCTGCTGTCAGCGTAGCCATCACCGGAGACCCCTGGGGGTGTCTGCCTCTGGCTTTGACATGTATGGAGTGGCTGTCAGGAAGATATGCAGACCGTTTGGGGCGGTGAGTGTTCACGGGACGTGTGTGAGGGTGTGTGCATGTGGGGCACCCAGCAGTGCTCGTGTGGGAAGGGCGTTCTTGGTACCTACCTCCCAGTCTCCTCTGCGCCTGTTGGGGACAGAGGCGAGATGTGACTAGTGTCGGTGGTTGAGACTAGACTAGGTAGAGTAGTGACAAGGTGAGAGGAATGTGTGTAAGGTAGTGAGTGGCTTTGTCCACTTTTTAAGGGAAATGTTACTGTTTTATACCAAAGGTATTCATGTGGGCAGCCTCTGATACAATGTAAGTCCCCCCCAAAAAAACGAGTTTATATTTTGAAATGGTTTTTACAGCTTCGACTTTGTACTCCTTCATTTTGTATCCAGCTGCGAAGCCTCCAATAAACCTTTAAACTTTCGTGACAACCCCAAAACCAAGGGCTGGGTAGATGCTTTTTAAACTGCTGTGTGGGAACCTTCGCGTGAGGCCGTTTGGGTTTTATTAAGTGTGATGAAAGGGGGGCTTAAAAAATGTTTCTTACGTATTTTATACTGTCCTAGTTCAAACGCCAACCCTGCCACTCGGGTTGAACTTTTCTAGAAAAGTTAAAGTGAATGTCAGTTCTGAGGTTTCCTGTAGGAATGGAAAAGCCATCCAATACATTGTTTTTAAATGTTTACACGAAGGGTATGTTTGTGGAACACGTGATTTGTTTGGGCTTCTCCACCTGCTGACCTAATGTTTCTGGCAGTCTTTGTCTCTCTCCTTTCCCTCCGACTGCTTCCCCGGGATACGAGAGGTCCCTACGACATTCCAGGCTAATGCTGCTGCATTGGCTGGCTCAGCTGTTATCCAGTATATTCTACGGGGACCTAATTTTTCTTATGCTGGCATTGGGGGCAAGCAGAAGTCAGTATTTACACTCCAGAAATGGGAGCCTAAGATCTGGTAAAGAGTAAAATTTTATTACATCGTAATTGCTTGCTTACAGTGAAAAAGGTAACAGCTTTTGGTCCTTTGTAATCAAGTTGTTGTTTTTTTTCCAAATATGCCATTTGATTGTGGTACAGGGGCCTGTGCCCGAGCTGGTCCCTGGCTGTGGCCCTGGCAGCAGCTTAGCAGGTTGGATGCTGGGCAGGTCCCAGCCCTGTGCTTACTAGTAGGTTTACCTCCCAGCAGCTGTTCAGGGCCCACGTGGGAACACGCAGCCCGACTCTTGGAATGGGTGCTCTCTACACGTGTGCGTCATTAAGCTTTGTTTCCCTGTGCTGTGGACAAAATGCTGTAAGCTTTAGAAACCGTTACTGTATGTTGTGCCAGCCTTTGTGGACGTGTGTAAAATAAAGTCATATAATGCTTCTACTTAAGCCCGTTTTCTGGGTCTTTTCGGAAACCCCAGCACAGTGGAGTGCGGTTCTCAGCAGAGAGAGCGAGGCGGTCACAGTACTTGCTGCCCGACCGCCTTGAAGCTGCTCGGGGTGGGAAAGTGGAGTCATTTCGCTGTAGCGCCTGAATTTAAACAGCGAAAGGAAGTCTGGGGCAGACACACAGCCGGGCTTCTGAAAAAGCAAAACCAGTCAGCTGGTGTAATTTTGGGGAGACACAGCTCACCCTCTGGCACCTAGAGCGCCTGATCCCAGTGTTGTGAACTTTTCCCTGCTTCCTCTCAGGCCGCCTCTCCCCCTGCATTGTGCCTGGAGCAGCGGATCTGTGCCTACCTCCCCGTGGCCGGTCAGAGTGCGCAGCGGGGTCTATCCTATGGGGGATGTTCGAACCACCGTCTCGGGTGACGTGACTCCCTGAGGGGATGCCTACGTTAGCGCCAGAGCAGCTGGGGCCGGGCGCTGGCATGAGAAGCCGCTCGTCTCTTCAGAGGTAGGGGTAGCCTCGAAGGGGTAGCTTCCTGGGCCACATCCCGCGTTCCGCATCCTGGCCTCGGCCGACGCCACCCTCTATCAGGACTTCCTGCGGACAGACACCTGGAAGAGTCCACGCCGAGGCTGAGAGGCCGGAAGGAAGCAGTGATCACCCATCAGCATCCCCCAGGTAAGCGGGAGGACCTTCCACCTGCCACACAGGAATGGGCTGGCGAGGCCGTTAGTGCCTTCAGCGAAGCAGGCAGGGAGCCGGGCTCCTGAGTCCAAAAGAGAGCTGCTCAAGCTGTGCTCAGAATAAGCTACTGGGCACGGAGGGCACAGCTCTGAGCACCAGCCACACCCGCAGCCAATGCACCCCAGGGCCTGGGCGTGCTAACGCAGGAGGTTCCCGTTTGAGAACCGCCGTATGAGGCACAGCAGCAGGGCTTTGCCATTTAAACCCGAGGAGGATGGACTGGCAGCTGCTGGCTCCCGTTAAGCTGAGAGTAAACTCACCACGGTTAGCTGTCCGTTTTTATCTTTATAGATTTGTTCTTCTGGTCCCGTGTCGAAAACTATCGTGCCTTCTCTCCCAGGACTGATGTAAAACTGTAAACTTAAATACACACAACATGCTGAGCTACTGGCCTGGTGTTACCTTTTTCTCTCCGCCTTTGCTCTGCAAACGAAATGCATCTAGGAACTTTTACTCGTTTCAAGGTTGAACGTGTTTGATGATAGGATCTGAGTGCCTGTTTGAGTAATGCAGAGACAAAAACCGTTTCCATAACCGGGAAACTTACCCAGGTCTCTGTCGTTAGTCTAAGATCAGTTTGGCTCCTTACAGTTTCAAAGGGCCAAGCTGCTGCCTGGGTAACTACATGTCTTCACACTACAGCTCACGGGCTAGCTCTGCCTGCAGAGGCAGAGCTATACAGAAGCCCCACTTTCCACCTCTCGCCGTTCATCCCCATAGGGATTGATTTACTTAGCAGGTTTTAAGGATTGGGGGGGGCGTGATGGGAGAAGTATGAGGGAGCCTCCTGCTTAGGGGCTCCGGGAGCAATGCTGAGGGTCCGAGCAGGGTCCCTGCCCAGCTGCATGACGGTGGCACCCACTGCGGAGCTGCCGAGAGAACCGAGCAGGTACTCTGTGCGCCTGGGATTTTTCTTGTGTGTCCCAGCACTGTTCCCTCATCGGTCTGCAGTGGAGGCCCCTGTGCTCAACCAGCTGTCCTCCAAAACAGACTGCCACAGCACAGGTGTGGCTGCCACCTGCTGGGCCGAGGCCCACCCCCCACTGGGCCAGCTTTCCTCCAGTACTCCCGCCTTTAAATACTGGATCACAGACTGTCCCTTTAGGCCACCCAGTAGTCACCGACTTCCTCATTTCTCTGGAGCCCCAGGCTTTGGGGAGAGGGAAAAAGTTCATTGAAAGGACAGGGTACCCGCGGGAGCAGGGGTGGGGAACGTCCGGCCCAGGGGCCATCTCAATGGACCTGGTCCTGCCAAGGCAACTGCAGGCAGGACTTGAAATCCACTCAGCCTAAGGGCCTTTTCGTAGCAACAGAAGTTTTAAGTGGACGATTCTGTGTTGCCCACAGATAACGTTATAAATATCCAAGTGGCCTCGTTGGCAGAAAAAAGTGTTCCCCACCCCTGCAGGGAGGCGGGCACAGTTCACAGCCCCATCCTCCTGGACGCGCGCACAGGCGTCTGAGCCCCAAGTGCCTTCCTCCCCGGAGAGGACACCTCCTACCTGCCCTGAACAACATGCACGAGGTTCTCCTTCTTCACCAGCATGACGAGCTTCGTCACCGCCTCAATGACGTGTTCACACTGCAGGATGGCGTCCCCCTACGGCGGGGAGGAGAGGACGGGGCGCTCTCACCGCTGTCCACCGGCACATGGGCGCCGAGCAGGGACCGGAGGCCGTCCCTTACCTTGTGCTTGCTGGCTCCCGGCGAGACGTGAAGGATTAAGAACCCATCGCTCAGGTTGCTGGTAGTGACACCTGCAGGCAGACCGCAGTGAGCAGCCAGGAAGGGACAAGACGGGACATTAGCACAGGTGCCAGGGGAGGTGCACCTCGGGGCTCACCCTCTTCCCCCCTCGCGGGGCCCAGCAGGGCGCAGAGCCTCCGTGGACAGTCAGCGTGCTGTTGGGGTGTCCAGGTTGTGCACCAAATAAAAATGGGCACTG